TAGCATGCTCTTGAACCCTGCTTGCAAAATGTGGCATTCTGAAGGCACCAGACATGCCTTCCTTCCTTCCTTCCTTCCTTCCTTCCTTCCTTCCTTCCTTCCTTCTTTTCCAGTCCCCCACTTTTAAAAAACAATCCTAAAAGGCCCACCATCACCTTGTCTGATTGGGGCTGTTTTTAATTGCACCTTTTAGGGGTTTGATTTCTAGGCAAAACCAACCTAATATGTGCTTCCTAAGAAAACATGGATTGTAGCCAATGCTACTCTGGTCAGACCCATTGAAATCAATGGACATGACTCATTTAGGCCCATAATTTCTACTGCAAGTAGGGTTTCATTGGACCCTCTGCAAACCAAAACACGGGTGATCCTTCAGAATTTGTGTTTTTCTGAATTTTGCAATGCAGTTCTGCAACCATGTAATATTTATCCCCCTCAAAATGTATTTTTTTAAAAAGAAACAATTCATATGCTGCTGAACTGCAATCAGCTCTAGGCAAAGTGCACATAAAATGCATGTGATTAGGGTAGAATAACATACAAAAGTACATTATATTAGAGAGAACCACTTGCAAAATTGCATATAAAAATGTGAATAGTGAGAAACATTAGCATTAAAACGCTGATCAATTTCCATGAAGATAATGCGCAAATTGATTTGGAGTTCAGGTGGAGACCTGATCTTAAGGTGGGGAAAATGAGAAGCTGAGTGAAGCCGAAATTGTCAGAATTGCCCATTCCTATCTGACACCTTCTTTGGAACTAAAATAGACACATTTTCTCATGCCTTATCATTCCCTAGCACTGTATCTGCCAGGGAGGGAGAGAATTGTGGTTGTTTTTGGAAATGGGGCAACTTAAGTGAGAAAACACAGATATTTGCAGGATATGTGGAAGCAGCAAGATTGATGGGAAGGCAGAGGACAGAAGAATGCTGTTTTCTTCTGAAAATAAGAGCAAGTCTCCATGTGACATACATCAGACTTCATGTGGCAGGATCTCAATCTGATTGCCTTTCAAGGTGTTCTAAGACAGTTCTCTTTTGGAGGGTGTGTGTGTGCGTGTGTTGCTGCAAGAGAAGCTTAGGCTAGCCTCACCCATCTCAGGATGTTTTCTTCCAGGGAATGAGAGGAGGGCTTCCTGATGGGTGGAGTGCCATGGAGCCAATGATGAAAGGAAAAATCTGGTCACAGAATCCTATATTTGGAAGGAAGGCTCACTTGTGATTCTGAATGTCAGACAAATGGCATTTCTGTCCAAAAGAGGGCAGGAGGAAGCAGTGGACACAGACCATAATATTTTTGCATCACAGCAGTGGCGTAGCATGGGGGTGCAGGGGGGGCCGGCCGCACCGGGCGCAACATCTGGGGGGGCGCGCTCGCACTCGCAGCTCTCTGCCCCTACCTGGCTCACTCACTCTCTCTCACTGCAGTGCTGGCTGTGCGAATCCGATCCGAGCCGCTGGGTCGCCACCCACTGTGGAGGGTGGGTGCCAGGCGTGCGGTGCGGAGAGAGAGTGAGGGACTATCTGGGGAGGGACAGTGCAGCGGCCGCTCAGCGCTGCGCTGGGCGCGGGAGAGAACCACACCAGACCAGACCAGGCAGCAGCAAGAAGAAGCTGGCAGCGGCGGCAGGTTAGGGGTTAGGGGGCGCAAATTACTTGCCTTGCCCCGGGTTAGGGGGCGCAAATTACTTGCCTTGCCCCGGGTTAGGGGGTGCAAATTACTTGCCTTGCCCCGGGTGCTGACAACCCACGCTACGCCGCTGCATCACAGTGCTTGGGGCTTGCTTTTGCATCACAATATTTATATATCCAGGCTAAGGCTTCCAGGTCAGAAGCACCCCAGACCCGGAGATTTCAGGGCCAGGATTTCAGGTTGCCAAGTCAGAAGCAACCTGAGACCCTGGGGATGAGCCTGATGATGTCACCTGAGGCCCTTCTCTGTGTCCCACCTCCCCAAGAGGTTCGCAGGGTGGCAATAAGAGAACAATGCTTTTCTGTGGTGGCTCCCTGATTGTGGAATGCTCTCCCCAGCGAGGCTCACCTGGCTCCATCATTACATGTCTTTAGATGCCAGGCAAAAACATTCCTCCTTACCCAGGTCTATGGCTGTTAAATAATCTATGGCCTGTGAAAGTGTGGAGGAGAGAACTTCTATTATGATTATTTTACTATCAGGCTGCATGCCAGTACATGTCTTACTATGTTTTTCTTACGTTTTTATCATTGATGTTTCGTAATGTGTTTCTAACACATGCCCTGGGAACTTTTGATAAAGTTTATAAATTAAATAAATTACTTTTATTTTATTATTAAGGACCATTAGGACTAGAATCTTGCTTTACTGAAAGGGGGAGAGCCATAGCTCAGTGATAGAGCACAGAAGGACCCATTCCAGGCAAAGGTTCCATTCCAGGTAAAGCTGGGAATAGCCCCTGCCTGAAACGCTGGCGAGCCATTCCTGCCAGTCAGTGTAGACAATACTGAGCTAGATGGCTCAATAGTTGGACTGAGTGCGGTGCAGATTCCTATGGTTTCTACCTTGGTTGAGCTCCTCGTCTCTCCATTAGCCAAACTATGTGTCCTTTGCAAAAATAAATAAATAAATAAAATGGCTCCACTGTCTTCTCTACACACACATTCCTTGTACCCTCCCCTCCCCACCCGCAATTCTCTTTTTCTCTTTCTTTGCCATGGTTCTGTGGTTCTGCTGTTTTCCTCGCCCCACCACGTCCTCTGTCCCTCCTCGATTCCCCCTTCAACAACGATATGGGGTGTGGGGAGAGAGAGAGAGAGTGTATCAAAGCGGGACATATTGGATCCAGATGTGTGCTCTTGTGTGCGAGCCTTCCAGTGATTTAATTAAATTTCCCCAGACAGCCAGGAGGGGTTTCTTAATGATCAAATTTCCCTGGCTCTCTTCCTAAAATGCCCTCTCTTTTCGTTCTCTCTCTCTCTCTCTGCCTCCCTGATGGATCGCCAAAATGCATTTTACTCAGGCCCAAACTGTCTTCAAGTCTGCAATTCCTGCCTGGGGCCAGAGAAAGCTGATAGGATCAGGATAGTAACCTCCTGCCCAGCCCTTTCTGCCCCCCCCTTTTCTGCATTTGTAAGGTGAGCTGGGTTATTTTGCATGATAATGCCCTTCTTGTTTCACTCTGGAATTCAGAGTACATTTCCTGGGGTGGGGGGCATGGCATGGAAATACATGGGTCCCTAAAGACAGACATCCATCATTTCATTTCCTTTTTTTAAAAAAGGGCATTCCATGAAAATGATGCTTGTTTCTGAAATACAGTGCACATACATATCACACAGAAAAGAACATCAGGAGACCCTGCAGAATCAGGGCAACAGGTGCCCATATAAGTGCAGCATCCTGCTCTCTCGGTGGCCAAAAAGATGTGCATTTTGGGAAACCTGCAAGCAGGAATTGAGCTCATAAGCCCTCTCCCCTTCTGTGGTTCTCAACACTGGCATTCAGAAGCAGTTTTGGCCTACACTTCACTCAGGCCTATTTCCACACAGAAGCACACAGGTGCACAAATCCTTTGATCATCAACTGCTCCATGTAGAGGGTGGGGGAGGTGTTGTCACCTCTCCCCTATAATCAAATGATATATCTGATGACTAGGGATGGGGGAAGGGACACAGGTGGCCCCTAGGGCTTGCTGATCAGAAGGTTGGCGGTTTGAATCCCTACGACGGGGTGAGTTCCCGTTGCTCGGACCCTGCTCCTGCCAACCTAGCAGTTTGAAAGCACATCAAAGTGTAAGTAGATAAATAGGTACCACTCCGGCGGGAAGGTAAAGGGCATTTCCGTGCACTGCTCTGGTCCACCAGAAGCAGCTTAGTCATGCTGGCCACTTGACCCGGAAGCTGTACACCGGCTCCCTCGGCCAATAAAGTCAGATGAGTGCCGCAACCCCAGAGTCGGCCACGACTGGACCTAACGGTCAGAGGTACCTTTACCTTTACCTTTAGGGATGTGGGGGGGAGAGAGAAGTTCAATTCTGCTCACATTTGAGCATCCTGAAGCTACCTCCTTTGAATGCCCGAATTTTTCAAGGCAGTTCACCAGCCAAGTGTATAAAAATGTATATGTTAGGAGAAAGGTATGCCTAAACATGCATATATATATATATATATATATATATATATATATACAGTGGTGCCCCGCAAGACGAATGCCTCGCAAGACGGAAAAACCGCTAGACGAAAGGGTTTTCCGTTTTGAAGTTGCTTCGCAGGACGAATTCCCCTATGGGCTTGCTTCGCAAGACGAAAATACCTTGCGAGTCTTGAGGGGTTTTTTTCGCTTTCCCCCCCCTTTATCTAATCTGCTAAGCCTTTAATAGCCTTTAATAGCCTTTTAGCAGCTAATCCCCTAAGCCTTTAAGCCTTTAATAGCCGCTAAACCGCTAATAGCGCTAATAGCGCTAATCCGTCAATGGGCTTGCTCGCAAGACGAAAAAACCGCTAGACGAAGACTCTCGCGGAACGGATTAATTTCGTCTTGCGAGGCACCACTGTATATGAAAACAACACACCAAAAATCCATTACATTAGGGGGGAAATTATTTGCAAAAATACTGTCTACAGTATCAGGCAAAAAAATAGATGCAAGTATGTGCATGTGAGGAGAAATTTGTGCTGAAATGCTGGCAACAACAAAAAGGGCAAGCACTGTGGGAATGTGGAGAGCTGAATTTAAGACTGGAAAACTGAAAAATGGAGAGAAACCTAAACTGACATTTGCACTAATGACCAATGGAAGATTTCACTCCTAGAAAGTTAATAACAGCTTTAGAAGGGAGCACTTCCCAGCCTGGGAGGAAAGGGTTAACCCATATTGATCCAGAGCAGACCCCAAAGTATAGTTAGCAGAGAAAAAACTTAACCACAATGCAGGTTAACTTGGGAGGCAATCAGCCTGATCCAGTAGGCAAATAAGCATAATGATCACAAACCCATATTCTTCAGGATTGGCACAGTCCATAAGAAATCCAGTTGCAGCATACTTAAATTTAACACTAAGACTAAAACCTTAACACTTGGACCTTGAGCTTGTTTGGAGGTTCTAGCAGGGGAGCGCAGCTATCGTATACCCTTGACCGAAGAACGGTACACTCCTTCTATCTGGGATGGTCGTCCTCTTCCACCGAGCGCGCAGCTTCAGGAGGGACGCACATGGAGCGGTGAGGGAGGAAGGGGACACCTGCCTAGCCAGCCAGATCAGCCGAATCAACCCTGGCGATCAATGGGGTGACAGATGTCGCAGGCAGATCGCCCTCACATCCATATTGTCAGGAAAGCTTTGTTTAATGTTTGGATAAGATATAAGGACTTATTGGAAAATAAAACCCCAAGGTGGCTCTCACCGATGGAAGCGAAAGCCCTGAAAAAGCTCAATATGGAGGTCAAATGGCCGAAATATTGGGAAATTTTAGAACAAGATGGAGATAGATTGAAACTGCAGAGTTTTGAAAAACTAAAAAATAAAGTGCGAGAGTGGCTTCATTATTATCAGATAACGGAGGCATACAATTTGGATAAGAAAATTGGCTTCCAGGTGGAAAAATCAAAATTAGAAACAGAACTGTTAGAACCCAAAACTAAGAATTTGTCAAGAATGTATAACTTGCTGCTGAAATGGAATACTCAGGATGAAACGGTGAAATCTGCTATGATTAAATGGGCACAAGATGTTGGACATAGCATCATGTTTGCTGACTGGGAACAGTTATGGACCACAGGTATGAAGTTTACAGCATGTAATGCCCTAAGAGAGAATATTATGAAAATGATATACAGGTGGTACATAACCCCAGTCAAGCTTGCAAAAATCTACCATCTGCCCGATAATAAATGTTGGAAATGTAAAGAAACTGAAGGTACATTTTTCACCTTTGGTGGACGTGCCCAAGGATTAAGGTTTTCTGGGAGATGATTTATAATGAATTAAAAAGGTATTCAAATATACCTTCTTGAAGAAACCAGAGGCCTTTCTCCTGGGCATAGTCGACCAATCGGTGTTAAAGAAGGACAGAACTTTCTTTATGTATGCTACAACAGCAGCAAGAATACTTATTGCAAAGTATTGGAAGACACAAGATCTACCCACACTGGAGGAATGGCAGATGAAAATGATGGACTATATGGAATTGGCGAAAATGACTGGCAGAATCCGAGACCAGGGAGAAGAGTCGGTGAAAGAAGATTGGAAGAAATTTAAAGACTACTTACAGAAATATTGTAAAATTAATAAATGTTAGAATGATGACGGATTGAAGTTAAGCAGTTTCTAGCAGTAATGGTTAAAAGAATTGGAAAAATTGGTTTTTAATAGGTAAAAATTTAATGTTATAATACATCAAGATTAAAGATCAGAATTAAAAAGGAGGGAAAGGAATTGCTGGACTAACAAATTGAATTGGAATACAAAAGAGGGAGGTATGAGGAGGTCCGGGAAACAAGTAAACGTAAAAGAAGTGATGAAAAGATGGAATTGTTTTTAACTGTTTTTTCTTTTTCTTTTTTGTACTTTGTATTTTGTATTTTTCTTTTTATTATTAATTTTCTTATTAATGTGATCTTTTTCTTGTGAAATTTTAATAAATAGCATTAAAAAAAAATAAAAAAAATAAAACCTTAACACTTAAGCATATTATGTACAAAACACCACACCAGAAGAGAGACAGGAAGTCAAACTCATGCTCCTTCTGGCCTATTATTATAGTCAACATGACCCAGACAGAAAAAGATAACAGAACCAGTTTGAACCAGCTGTTCAGCTTCTTTGAAGCTTGCTGGTTAGCTTGAAACTTCCAGCTTGCACCAGCTTTTTTCACACAGAGAAGCTTCCAGAACCTTCTTGAAATCATAGAATAGAAAAGATCTCTACAGTTTAAACCAATACTTTCTATAACAACAGATGCCAACCTGACACCCTGCCCTCCCCAAACCCCATTTCTTATGGTATGGTCCTGTAATCACAATCAAGGTGACAAATGAGCATGTTTCCAACATTAATTTATTCCTTCAGGGATGTCAACAATGACAAAGCTAGAATGAGTCAGCTCTCCCTGTCATTGGCTCTTGCGTCACCACACCCTCCAACATTTCTCCGATGAAAATAGGGATGTCCCATTCCAGAATGATTCTACTATTTATACCCCACACATCTTACTGGGTTGCGCCAGCCACTCTGGGCAGCTTCCGACATATATAAAAACATAACAAAACATTAAACATTGGGGGGGGGGGGAGAGACTCCCCTATGCAGGATTGCCTTCAGACGGCTCAGAGGCTGGATAACTCCATACCCTCCAACATTTCTCCAGTGAAAATAGGGACATCCTAAGGAAAACTGGGACATTTTGGGATCAAATCAGAAACCGGGAAGGCTTCTCTAAATCAGGGACATCCCTGGAAAATAGGGGCACTTGGAGGGTCTGCACCACTGACTGTTGGGCTTGCTTTCACCCTACCAAGTCCACCAAGACTCATTTCATTATTAATACTAACACAGGGCAGTTGTACCCCAGCGACCACCCTAGGTATTATCATGAAGAAAGCCCATCTAGCCATTGCTTCCCCTAATTTTCTTTCAGCTTAGCTCTCATCCTGCATCTTACCACCCAAATGGCTCCACCATGACACCAGAGACAGGGGAGGCCCCACAGCTGCCAATTGTCCCAATTTTCCAGGGACAGTTGTGGATTTACAGAAACTATACAGTTTCTGCTTTGATCCGGAAATGTCCTGCTTTTCCTTAGGACGTCTCTATTTTCATCTGAGAAATGCTGGAGGGTATGGAGTTATGTAACCCCCCCGAGCCAAGGAGATAAGTAACTACACAACCTTTAGAGGACATCTGAGGACAGCCCTGTATAGGGAAGTTGTTTAATGTTTAATGTTTTACGGTCATACCTCGGGTTACAGACGATTCAGGTTGCGTTTTTTCGGGATACAGACCCGCCGAAACCCAGAAGTACCGGAATGGGTTACATCCGGGTTTCGGCAGTCGCGCATGTGGAAAAGTGCTAAATCGTGCTTTGTGCATCTGCAGAAGCATCAAATTGCAACCCGCGCATGCGCAGACGTGCCACTGCAGGTTGCGAACATGCATCCCGCATGGATCACGTTCACAACCCGAGCGTCCACTGTATTATGCTTTTATGTATGCAGGAAGCTGCCCAGAGTGGCTGAGGCAACCAAGTCAAATGGACAGGGTATAAATAAAACTACTACTGCTACTATTGAATACGGGCATGTCCAACAGGTAGATCATGAACTACCGGTAGATCACTGGACATCTGTGGTAGATCACGGTAGATCTCTCTCCCCCGCCCCCAGAAAAAGCTTTGGCTCCCCCCCAAAGAGCTCAACAATTTTGCCTGTCAATAACAATGGGTAGATCACAGCCAGTATTTTTATAATGGGAGTACATCACAGTCTCTTGGGAGTTGGACGTACCTGGAATAGAACGTCCCTATTTTCATTGGAGAAATGTTGGAGAGTATGAGCTGGCTTACACAAATTCATACTAGAACACTCTCTGGGACGGAGATTAGGCCACTTTGGCATGTTCTGATTCTCTCAACACCTCCCTGTCTCTCTGAGTGCCCCCACCACTGACTGCATCCAACAATTGCATTTGCCTTCTTGGCAGGAAGTTCACATGTCTTCCTGGGATCAGCTGCAATCTTCCTGATGATCGGCCCCCCCTCCCCTGTTTCCCATACGCTGAGTCCCCAGCCGTTAATAAAAATGCTTTCATTGCTGGCCCTTAAACGCCTGACCTTTCACATTGGACTGTTGAATTTCATTCCATTGCTGTTACTTCAGTTTGTGAGGTCATCCTGTTCGTTGTGGAAAAAAGGGAAGAAGAGGAAAATTCTGATCCTCTCCTGCGCTACTTGTTTGCGAGAATGTTATACTGGAATAAAGCTGTATACCTTTCTGGTCCATTCTGGAACATCTATATCGAGCCAACCCTATCTAGCTGAATCCCTCTCCCTTAAAAACATACAAGAATCCCTACACATCACTTCTTTGGTATAACCCCCAATTCTCATCCCTGATAGAAAAGAAGTCATGCAGTGTGAAATCAAGCGCAAAATAATGCAGTGCAAGAATTGGAGCATGCTTACTCGTGTGTCAATCTATTAGAGTCAATGGAACTTTCTCACAATGCCCTATGGGAAGCCCCCAAGCACGACCCAAATGCTACAGCAATACTCTCCCCATTTGTGATTCCCAGCAACTGGCTATGGCCCTTTCTCCCAAATAAATTAAGATTCCAGTCCTCATGTCTCTAAATAAAGCGATGGCCTAAACAAGAAGCTGCCTTATACTGAGCGAGATCATTTGGTCCCTCTAGTTCAATGTTATCAACACTGACTGGCAGCTGCTCTTCAGGATTTCAAATAAGGAATCTTTCCTGGCTCTACCTGGCACAGGTGTATCCTGGCTTCCTTTCACTCTTGGCAAGGAACTGTCTCGCCCCCCCCCAAAAAAAACTGATTTACTACAACAGCGGCATTAGAAATTCCTACATTTTACATGACTTAAGTACTTGAAGGTGGGACACGGGTGGCGCTGTGGTCTAAACCACTGAGCCTAAGGCTTGCCGATCAGAAGGTCAGTAGTTCAAATCCCCGCGATGGGGTGAGCTCCCGTTGCTTGGTCCCAGTCCTGCCAACCTAGCAGTTCGAAAGCACGTCAAAGTGCAAGTAGATAAATAGGTACCACTCCAGCAGGAAGGTAAATGGCATTTCCGTGTGCTGCTCTGGTTCGCCAGAAGTGGCTTAGTCATGCTGGCCACACAACCCAGAAGCTGTCTGCAGACAAACACCAGCTCCCTCAGCCAGTAAAACGAGATGAGCGCCACAACCCCAGAGTCGTCCGCAACTGGACTTAATGGTCAGGGGTCCCTTTACCTTTAAGGGTATTATTTTACTGTTAGCTTCTCTGAGCCTGGCTTTGGTTGGGGATATAAATAAATTTTTATTATTATATTATTATTATTAAGTACTTAAAGCATCCAGTGTGAGGGCAAGGCGAGGAGGAAAGACAAAAAAAAATGCACACCTTTGTGCTGATGTGTGCTGGAATATTGAGAAGCTGCAACAACAGTGGCACATTGCCACTCATATAGTCTGATAGGACAGGTGATTTTTGCGGGTTGTGGTGGTGGCCCTGTGCCCCCTGCAGGGTCCGGTTTCACCAACCCCTAAGAACGGCTCTGCTACCTGGGGATGCCATTGGGGATCAAACCCAAAGGAAGGAAGCAAATGCTCTAACCACTGAGCTATTGGTCCTTCTCTTTTCCTCTTGCCTTGGACACGGAAGGAAAGATTTCACAACAGCATTTTCAGAATAATGCTGAATCACTCAGAACTCTTCCATTTCTGCCCTCTTGCCCACTGGGAATTTGCCTGAGTCTAAAGAATAAAACCAACCCGTTTGACTGCAGAAAGGGAGCAAACGAAATAAGAGGCAATCAAGTTCCCTCCCTTGGCTTCACTGTCCAAAACATAGGAGTGCCTGGAAATTCCAAGTCTGTGATGGAAAGAAAAAGGCAAAGCCAGTGAGACTCCTACTCTATTAGTCAGTGTTGCTGCCAGCTCTCTTCCTGGCAGGGCTCCTGTGCTCTTAACAGCCTAAGTCTGAGCAGTAGAGAATAGGTCCAACAAATTTTCCCCCTGAATGGGCCTGTGGAAAAGCCAGAGGGATGACGGGCCTCTTGTATCTTTCTAACAGCTGTGCAGAAATGGCTTTTCAAAAATATACCTGTGAATGAAATAGGCTCAAATTCTTCTACATGGCCCCATTTATTTTCTGGCTGCTTCGCTCACCCTGCAGTTAAATGCAGTGTCTGAATCCCCATTTGATGCCACAGAGGAGCACCTAAATTATCGGCCCTTTCCCAGGAGGGAACCTCTGGTCTGAGGGCCAAATGCAGCCCCTGCCCCTCCAGCAACTAGCCCCACAGTTGTTGGTGTTTTTTTTCTTTCCCACTCCACCCCCAACTTCAACTACCCCACTGTTGGTGAATCAGCTTAAGTGGCCAGGCTGTGGAGGATCAAGCCCACCTCTTCTGGGATCCTAAATCTGTCCACGCATCAAGGGGAAGAAGCTAGGGAGAACATAGTCAGAGCATTAGGTCTATCTAGCTCAGTGCTGCCTGCACTGACTGGCAGAAGCTCTCTGGGGTTTCAGGCAAGGGATGTTGGGATGCAGTGATGGGCATCAGCTTGAGCAGCTTTAGAAGAGGATTGAAGAAATTCATAGAGGAGGCTAGAAGCATAGAATCATAGAGTTGGAAGAGACCACAAGGGCCATCGAGTCCAACCCCCTGCCAAGCAGGAAACACCATCAGAGCACTCCTGACATATGGTTGTCAAGCCTCTGCTTAAAGACCTCCAAAGAAGGAGACTCCACCACACTCCTTGGCAGCAAATTCCACTGTCGAACAGCTCTTACTGTCAGGAAATTCTTCCTAATGTTTAGGTGGAATCTTCTTTCTTGTAGTTTGGATCCATTGCTCCGTGTCCGCTTCTCTGGAGCAGCAGAAAACAACCTTTCTCCCTCCTCTATGTGACATCCTTTTATATATTTGAACATGGCTATCATATCACCCCTTAACCTCCTCTTCTCCAGGCTAAACATGCCCAGCTCCCTTAGCCGTTCCTCATAAGGCATCGTTTCCAGGCCTTTGACCATTTTGGTTGCCCTCCTCTGGACACGTTCCAGTTTGTCAGTGTCCTTCTTGAACTGTGGTGCCCAGAACTGGACACAGTACTCCAGGTGAGGTCTGACCAGAGCAGAATACAGTGGCACTATTACTTCCCTTGATCTAGATGCTATACTATTATTGATGCAGCCCAGAATTGCATTGGCTTTTTTAGCTGCCGCATCACACTGTTGGCTCATGTCAAGTTTGTGGTCAACCAAGACTCCTAGATCCTTTTCACATGTACTGCTCTCAAGCCAGGTGTCCCCCATCTTGTATTTGTGCCTCTCATTTTTTTGCCCAAGTGCAATACTTTACATTTCTCCCTGTTAAAATTCATCTTGTTTGTTTTTGCCCAGTTCTCTAATCTGTCAAGGTCGTTTTGAAGTGTGATCCTGTCCTCTGGGGTGTTAGCCACCCCTCCCAGTTTGGTGTCATCTGCAAATTTGATCAGGGTGCCCTTGGCACAGTGGTCATGTTCTGTGTTATGTACTGAAGTTCTCACCCTGGGCCAGCAGGGGGATACTGTAGATAGTTATGCAAATAAGGGATCGAAAGTGACGTTCAGTGATTGGATAGTTTTAGAAAGTTGTTACAGTTATGCTGTACTGGAGCTCTATATAAGCAGGCTGACTGAATCCTTCTGTTCAGTTCTGTTCTGGCCTGTGAATAAACAAGAGCTGTTTGAAGAATCGCTGTGCCATCTGATATGTTCACCCACAACTTAACATTCTGCCTCCATGGTCAGTGGCAGTAATGTTTCTGGATACCAGCTGCTGGAACCTACAGGAGGGAAGAGGGTTCTTGTGCTCAGGTCCTGCTCGTGGGCTTCCCTTTGGGGCATCCGGTTGGCCACTGTGAGAACAGGATGATGGACTAGATAGGCCACTGGCCTGATCCAACAGGCTCTTAAACCCCGCCTGGAGACGCCAGGGATTGAACCTAAGACCTTCTGCATGCAAAACATGTGTACTGCCATTGAGATTACTCTTCTCCTAAAAAGTAAGAGACTAGCCCTCATAGTTCTGAAGAAGAGACTGAATTAAATAATTGAAATACTTTATTGTCACTTGTACAACTTGTATACAGTTAGATTACATGAGCACCTCCCATTCAGTTCTCTTAGTCTTATTTCCCCTTGTTTCCTGAGGCGCACACACCAAACTCAAAAGTCAGTTGCCCTGTTGTTATCTTTTCATTCAGCAGCCTAACAGCCCACGGATAGAAGCTGTTGTTTACCCTGTTGGTGCGACTAATCATGAGTCTATATCTTCTGTCTGAGGGCAGGAGATCAAGAAAGTGCCGACCAGGGTGTGAATCATCCCTGAGAATTTTCCTCCCTCTCCTGAGGCAACGTTCTTCCATCTTGTTCAGTACTGTCTACACTGACTGGCAGTGGCTTTCCACTGTTTCATACAGAAGTCTTTCCTAGCCGTACCTGGAGATGCCATTGGTGGTTGAGCCTGGGACCTTCTGACCACAAAGTAGATGCTTGGCCACAGAGCCAAGACCCTTCCGCTAAACAGAAAGCAAGATTATTCATCATTCTGAATAAAGGGCTGAATTAAACAGGAACACTGGAAAGTCTCATATACTGAGCCAGACTATTGGTCCATCTAGTTCAGCATTGTCCACACCGACTGGCAGCAGCTCTCCAGGGTTTCAGGCAGGGGACTAAACCACTGGGGACTAAACCTACGACCTTCTGCACACAAAGCAGATGCTCTGCCACTGAGCTATGGCCATTCTCTAAATTGTGGCTCCCTCACAGTTCACTTTCTTTGCATTCAGCAGAGAGAGAGAGAGAGAGAGCTCAAAGGCCCTGCCATGGTGCCCTCAGCACTTTTCTGACCAGGCCTTAAGTAAACTTCTCTGAAAAGCTATCCGGTTGTCAGGAATGTAGTAGAAAGATAAATATGGGGCTGTGGGGGAGGCTGGGAAATGCAGTTGGGGTGTGATTGATGCCTTCCTGAAGTTCTGTTTGCTTCTCTGAGCAGCCTTAGGGGTATGGGTTCAAATTACTCAAAAGCCCCTCGACCTATTTCCTCCGGCCCCAGAAAACTAACCCCAAGGCAGAAGGCAGCAGCAATGCTGAGTATTATCATGGCTTTATTGCAGACAACAGAACCTTCAAATATTTGATAAGAATTTTATAACTGTTGACAATTAATAACATAAATAAAAAATACACAATCATGCAACTGAAAAACAGAACTGCAATACTAAACGTATACATAGTTATCTTGCCTCGATAATGGACTGGATGAGAGCCAACAAACTCAATCCCGATAAGACGGAGGCACTCTTAGTGGGCAGTTCCCTAGACCGGAGTGCCTTCCATCAGTTTTGACTGGTGACTCACCTGTGCCTCCAACTGGACAGGGATAGCCTAACATCTGCTGCCTATGCTCTGGTAACCTCTAGGTTAGATCAGTGCAACTCTGAAGATGTTTTGGAAACTTCCACTGGTACGGAACTCAGTGGCTGAGTTGCTCACCAGGACAAGACTCTTTGAGCATGTAACACCAATCCTGGCCCTGCTCAAAGTAGAGCAACCCAAGACAATCAGGTAGCCCTCCCACCACATGTCAAAGAGAAAAACAACTACAGTGGTACCTCTAGATACGAACGGGATCTGTTTCAGAGACCCGTTCGTATCTAGAAGTAAACATAATTAGCGACGGTGTGTCTGCGCACGCGCGTCGCTTTTCGCCGCTTCTGCGCATGCGTGTGACGTCATTTTGAACGCCGTTACTTCCGGGTTGAGCGCTCCGTTACTTCCGAGTTGCCGAGGAGCGCAACTCGAACACGCTCAACTCGAAGCGTCTTCAACCCGAAGTATGACTGTACCAAACTTTTAGGAGACATCTGAAGGCAGCCCTGTTTAGGGAAGCTTTTAATGTTTAATAGGTTATTGTATTTTAGTGTTCTGTTGGAAGCCGCCCAGAGTGGCTGGGGAAATCCAGCCAGGTGGGCGGGGTATAAATAAATTATTATTATTATTATTATTATTATTATTATTATTATTTACAAGTATTATATGTATTTTAAATTAATATTTATTAAAGTTTCAGAAAGAATAAAATCACATTAATAAACAAGAAAATTTTAACAAAAACAAAGAAAAATACACCATACAAAATACAAAGTACAAAATAGAAAAAAGTAAAAAAAGAAGAAAGAAAAAAAAGAAAAAAGAAAAAACAGTTAAAAATAGTTCCGTCCTTTCATAACCTCCTTTAGATTTACTTGTTTCCCGGACTTCCTCATACCTCCCTCTTTTGTATTCCAATTCAATTTGTAAGCCCAGCAATTTCTTTCCCTCCTTTTTAATTCCAGTCCTAAATCTTAATTATTTACAAGTATTATAAAGTCCGTCACATAGATGATGAAGCAGATTTGATTTCTGCTTTTCCAGAGAGTCAGATCTAAACCAACAGGTTCACTTCCAGGCAGAGAGGGAAAGATTTAGGACACACTCCCTGGAAGCCAGCAGACTCTCCTTCCTTAGAGATTTTTAGACATCCTCCCAGAGGGTACTCTTAGACCTACCCTGGAGATACCCTGGCTGCCAATAACACACACACGATTCTAGTTCTCATGGTTTTGAATAAATGAGAACCAAAGGAACTGTCTTGCACCAAGGCAGTCTGCTGGCCCATCTAGCTCAATACTGCCTACAGGGGTCAGCAAACTTCTTCAGCAGGGGGCCGGTCCACTCTCCCTCAGACCTTGTGGGGGGCCGGACTATATTTTGGAAAAGAAAAAAGAGAACGAATTCCTACGCCCCACAAATAACCCAGAGATGCATTTTAAATAAAAGGACACATTCTACTCATGCTGATTCCCGGACCGTCTGCAGGCTGAATTTAGAAGGCGATTGGGCCAGATCCAGCCCCCAGGCCTTAGTTTGCCTACCCATGGCCTACACAGACTGACAGCTGTTCTCCAGAGTTGCAGACAAGGGGTCTGTCTCAGCCTTTAAGGTTGGAAATTGAAACTGGAACCTTCTGCAAGCAAAGTAGATGCTACATCCCGCCAATAAATAAAGCAAATGTCTAGTTTCCACTAAGGATTGAATTAAATCACTCTATCTAAGCTCAGCATTGTTGACACTGACAGGCAGCAGCTTCCCAGGGAATCCTTCCCAGCCCTACACGGAGACTCCAGAGCCATGTCCATGCAGCTGAGGCATAACCCTTTCCCAGACCACAAAAAGCACTCTGCAGGTGCCCCAAGAGACCATTCAACTTTAGTGTTACAGATTTGCAAGGCTGGCACTGAAATAACTTGCGGCGGGAGGTCTGATAAAACCCTATCAAGCAAGACTTAAGCAGCGGCAACTCCAGCCATGGAGCTAAAGCCTGCATGCATTTAATGTTTGTAAAGAGCGGATTAAAAATAATTATTCCAGTTCAACTGAGTCTATAGATGTACAGTAGTACCTCGAGTTAAGAACTTAATTCGTTCCGGAGGTCCGTTCTTAACCTGAAACTGCTCTTAACCTGAAGCACCACTTTAGCTAATGGGGCCTCCTGCTGCTGCCGCGCCGCCGGAGCGCGATTTCTGTTCTCATCCTGAAGCAAAGTTCTTAACCCGAGGTACTATTTCTGGGTTAGAGAAGTCTGTAACCTGAAGCATCTGTAACCTGAGGTACCACTGTATTTGAAGTTGAGAATATATTGCGGCAATGCATGATTATTCGTATTTCTTTCAATGAACCTAAAATAAAGAATAGTGTTCTGAAATACAAATACCGGTATACAGTGGTACCTTGGGTTACATACACTTCAGGTTACATATGCTTCAGGTTACAGATTCCGGTAACCCAGAAATAATACCTCGGGTTAACAACTTTTGAATCATAGATTCAAGCCCCATGTTGGGCAAAAGATTCCTGCATTGCAGGGGGTTGGACTAATGACCCCTTGGGACATCTTCCAACTTACGATTCTATGAAATAAACACTGGTTTATTATTATTATTATTGGGTGCTGCTAGGCACTTTTAAATTTGCAAAAAACACATATTTGCATATATGCTACCGTGTGGAAATTAAGGTGAACACAACAGCTCAAAAGGGGAGTGCAAAGGAGTTAGAACCCAGGTCACCCCTCCCTCACAATACACCATTTGGGCGTCCAGTTTTCACCTAAATGCTAAATTACTCTTTGCTAAATTACTCACAACCATAGAGAAACATTGAGGCTCTTGCTTTTTATTGTGAAGTGTTTTTATTCACCACTCTACTTCGTCAGAAAAGTCTCCCAGAGCATGTGGTGTCAGGTCAACAAATTCCTTCCTATACAAAATTTGCAGGTGCGACCCACAAGGAGGAAAAGGAAGGGGGTGGGGATGAAGGCAAGCAAAACTCAGGCACTGTTGAAGTGTAAGTGTTCTTCTAAGAACCAGATAGGAAGGGAAAAATCAAAGCCCAGAGGAGTTACCAAAGCACTTGGAATGACTTCTCAGGGGTGCCAAATGAAGCTGGTCCCTCAATATAGCCATGGAGTGGGACCTTCTGTCCTTTGTCGAAAGATGAAATGACTGTTGATAAGACCCCAGTTGAGGGGTCTCTGGAGAGTGCCAGTGGAGCAGCCCAGAGTGGTTTAACAATCCCTCCTACTTAGGGAACTTTGGGAATTGTAGTGCCTTGAGGGGAACTGCAGTCTCCTAAACGATTCCCAGGATGCTTTGGGGGAAGCTGTGATTGTTTAAAGCGTCATTGGGTTTTTAAAAAATGTATGGTGCGAATGTAGCCTGTGTGTTTGGTTAAATGCTTTCCGGGGGGGGGGGGAATATAGCTGAAGCAAGGGGCCACCCTGAAATGATGTCTATCTTTTACTTAGAAACAGTGGATATTTTTCCCCAGTTGGTGGTGAGCTCATGGTCATCACGGTTTCTGAGGAACAAGGCCGTTTTCCTCCCAAAGCAGGGCCACCTGTCAGCCAGTTGACAGTGCTGGGTGACATCAGGAAGGCATGGGGAGGGTGCTGCGTTGCTAGCTTGCTCCCCTCTGGAAACACTAGTAAAGTGGACCCCTCCCCTATCAGTCTTGCTTCATTTCTGCTCTGTCAGATGAATGACAGGTGTGTGGCCTTCCCACTTATCAAGGATCTGGCCCAATGGGTCAAAAAAGTTCTTCACACTTAACCTAGCTGTGTATCAGCTTACAACCATCAAACTGCTTGGCCGTGGGTTGGACTCGATGGCCCTTGGGGTCTCTTCCAACTCTATGATTCTATCATCATACTGCCTTTGAAAACGCACAAAAATGGTTGAGTCACTGTGTGGACTAGATAAGGCTGCCCTTGGCTCATGGCCTAGCATAGGAAAGCCTCATGAGGAATGGTACCTTCTGTTTTGAAGGACAGAAACAGAATCTGCAATATGTTGTGAACCTCCCCGAGACCTATGGGTGAAGGGCAGTATACACATTAAATGATAAGGCAACAAGTATGAAAACAGCTACTTTCCATTTGCAAAAGCAGCACCCAATAAAGCATAGGATGTCGTGAAGATGTTATTGCCACCCCTTTTTCCTGCTACTTGGCCTATTGTTGCTTTTATTTTATTTTAATTAAATTTGTCAAGTCACTGTTACCCAGGGCAACCCAAAGCAACTTGAAAACAACCAAGCAAGACACTAGAGGCACAACATTTTGCTGGTGCAGAACACATGTTTAATGACCTAGAGGAATGGACAATTTGCTCCCTGTTAGAAGCCAGGTTGCTCAGAACAGTTGTTTAGAAAAGTCGCGAGGTAATATTGTTCCAGATAAATGGAGGCCTCCAACCTTCTGCGGACACTGAGAATTCAGTTTAGTCATGACCCACGTCCAGAAAATGGACTTGTCCCTCCTTCAGAACAATCAGCAGTTGAGCTGCAGATTTGGAAACATCCAAGTCTTATGCATTCGTCCATTGCAGGGCAAAAGGCCATGTGTGTGAATAAGTATGGTGCAGTAACACCTTGTGCCGGCAATCCCGCAAATGTCATCCTGTGCGTGACCAACACCCGTGTCCACAATTGACTGGTGTGTGTGGCTTGAAGGCCTCAGGCTGGAAACACCCCCTTGGCAGATCAGTCTTCTTGGTCCACCCTTGAAGTCAGACGGCCGCCTCCGCAGAGCTGCTCGGGTCTATACGGAGATATTTTTTCAACAAGTTGGGAAGCGGGAGGGCCTTGACTTTTTCATCGATGGGCCAGGGTCTGAGATGCTGCCGCAGGGAAACCCGGCACAACTGCTTCAAGGTAGGAGGAGAGTGTTCCAGCTGCTTCAGGCTGGTGAAGAGGTCTGAGATCCTCTTCCTATGGAACCCGCTGAGGTGGCTGAGGTTGATCTCAAAGTTGATGGGCAGCTTGATGGTCTGGGAGCTTGAGGCCATGAGCTCCAGCACCGTCTCGGCCTTCTGAAAGAGGTCGACGGAGAAGGCGTCGTCCTCTGACCCGCTCAAGTGGGAGCACAGCTGCTCGAAGATAATACTGAAGCCCGACCAACAGGAGGGCCCATGGAGGGTGCAGTTGTATGACGCCCCAAACTCCAGGAGGAAGCGCAGGAGGGGAAAGTGGAGCCGGAAGTTCTTCAGGCACAGGTGCGTGAGGGACTCGTAGGTTGGGCACGCACTAGGGTTGGCCCCATGGGTCATCAGCAGCTGAGTGACCTGGAAGCAGAAGCTCTTGATGGTCCGGACCTCCTCTTCGTCACCTCCCACTGTCTCTCCAAGGAGGAAGATGATGTAGGAGAAGACGCTGTCGCCATCTTTTGTTGTGGCCTTCACATTGGCTCCTGATCGGCGGGAACAATAAAGAAACAGACAGTTTAATGTTTTTTTTCCAGTGACCCTTGGCATCACCACCACCGTTTTCCTATTTTCCCCAATCAATTTTTACTAAAAGTATTCAACAAAATACAATAAAAGCCAAACTAAGGAAGAGAAAGAGAAAATAAATATAAGGCCCTCTATCACAAATATATCTTAACCCTTATTTAAAGTAATCCCAAAGACATTTAATAACGTGTTTAGAATAGTGCTGGAAGTACAGTGGTACCTCTGGTTATGAACTTAATTCGTTCTGGAGGTCGGTTCTTAACCTGAAACTGTTCTTAACCTGAAGCACCACTTTAGCTAATGGGGCCTCCAGCTGCCGCTGCGCTGCTGCTGCACGATTTCTGTTCTCAACCTGAAGCAAAGTTCTTAACCCAAGGTACTATTTCTGGGTTAGCAGAGTCTGTAACCTGAAGTGTCTGTAACCTGGGGTACCACTGTATTTGAAGTTGAGAATATATTGCGGCAATGCATGATTATTCGTATTTCTTTCAATTAACCTAAAATAAAGAATAATGTTCTTAAATACATATACCGGTATATCTTGTTTGCCTAAGTAATCCAGTATCTATATAGATCATGTATCTTGTAACAATAAATTTGGATTAATCAGTGCTTGCACTTTTATCATTCCAGCCCACCCAGGCAGGTCGTTTTAGGGAGAATTCCGTGTGCTGGCAAGAGGGTGCCAGCCTGGTTCACATTCCTGCTCTGAGACCACTGGTAGTTTTGCACTGGATCTGGACCCCTGGAAAAGGAAGCAGCAGGGCTTGGTAGGGCGGGCGGGTGGAGGAAGCTCACCTCCTTCCAACAAAAGGCGAATGTTTTCCGTATTGTGGATCTGAACCCCATCACTGCTGGCTAGAGCATGCAGCAGAGCAGTCTTTCCTGGGGAAGGAGGGAAAAAGAGCATAAGAATGTGAGAGGAGTCGGTATCAGGCCTATCAAGCCCAGGCTCCTGTTCTCGAGTGACCAACCAAATGCCCACAAGCAGGAGCCAAGGAGGAAAAGGGGGAAAGGCCAAGCCCAGGAGGATGGAGGCAACTGACCATGTTTATCAGCTGCATTGACATCGGCTCCAAGTTCCAAAAGTCGCTTTAGGCAAGGGAGGCGTTCTGGCTCTTCGCTAGCCAGATCTAAGGGGCTGCTTTCATGAACCTAAGGAGGAAAGGGATAGAGGAAACATAACTGGCTGCTTTTATTGATGCCTTTACTGCAGCAGTGATGAATGGCATTTCTCCTAGTTCGAGGGCTGCAGTCCCTCTTCTGCAGAAAGCAGCTGGCGCAGTGAATGTGAATTTCCCCTCTATGGATATGGTCAGCTGGTTTCTACATGCACTCGGACACCTGTGTCCTTCAACCGGGCGAGCAAGTGACGTGAGCAGAGCTGAAGGATTTGTTTCCATCCAGGCAACACTCAAGGACCAAATCTGGGACCCTGGACCCTGCCTTGACCGCTGCTTTCTTGACCAACTATATCTTATCTTATCCTGTTTTTCATACAAGTTCTTTTCTCTAGAAAGGGGAGGGGGAGAAAGTCAACTCACAGCCTTGTGGCAACTTTTGAAAGCTAACTTTTTAGAAGAGCATAAGGTTTTAAACCCTACATGCACATTGCATCCTATGAACAAAGAAGCAAAATTTGGGATGGGGATTTTGGCTCAGGATCCCACTCCATCCCCAGCCTGCAATGTTGTTATCAATCTCCCTCTCCCTTTGTTAGTGCACCTGCTCCTTTCACTATACAGGTGGTGGCCATTTTGGGTGGGGGGGTGTGTTCCTGAGTCCTCTATGCGTTGGCAGAGCCCCAGCCCTGTTTTCGGGCCTCTTCTGGGTCGGCAGTGACGAGCCTGATCATGTGCCAATCAGACATGCGTAAAATGGTCGCTGCCTGTACGGTTCCTGTCATACACCAAAGATGCGCCTCTTTACTCTGCCCAGACACTCAAGATGCAAGAATAAAGTGGGTCCTAAACAGATGCAATTGTAATTGATCTCAAACCAATTTTTTTAATGCTTGCGTTTTAAATGGCTTGTGAGCAGGCCACTGAGAAGCCAAATCCATGATAAGAATAATTGCCAGCATGGTGTACTGGTCAGCATGCTGCGCTAGGAGCTGGGAGTGACCAGGGTTCAAATCCTCACTCGGCCATGAAGCTAACTGGGTGTAACCTTCAGCCAGTCACTGTGTCTCTTAGTCTGATCTACCTCACAGAGTTGAGAGAACCATCTGCACCACTCTGAATTCCTCGTGTGTGTGTGTGTGTGTATAAGGTTTGACATAAATGTTAATAATGGAAATAAAAATGGCTGCAGCTTACCCTGTCTCTCCGGTTGATGTCTGCACCTTCCTGCACCAACAGCTCTACCATGTCCGGCTTGTTCCGCATCACGGCGATGTGCAAAGATGTATAATAAGTGATTGGATCTTTTGAAAACACAGAAACACACATTTATTTATTTTTTTCACCAATTTGGCACAATTTGTTAACTTGTCACACTGAAACATCCTTACCTTTCTTCCAAGGACCTCAAGGTGACCTGGTTCTCATGCCCTCGCAACAATCCTACGAGGTAGGCTAGGCTGCAGGTGAGATAGCGACCGGCCCAACTGTCGCTCAAGGGACCTTCACGTGGTTGCATGGGAAATTGGAACTCTGGTTTTTTAGTTCCACAGCTCTTATCCACTGTGCCTGACTGCCTCTCCTAGCAGGCTAACTGGCTGTTGGTTTTTAGGAAACACTGAGCCCTTGCACGTTCAGGGATGTTGTTCTGATTTTCAAGGAGCTTAAGGTGGGGTACACATTTGCAAGGCTGGGACTGAAATAACTTATGGTGGGAGCTCTGATAAAACCCTATCAAGCAAGACTTAAGCAGCTGCAATTCCAGCCATGGAGCTGAAGCCTGCATGCATTTAATGTTTGTAAAGAGTGGATTAAAAATAATTATTCCAGGTCAACTGAGCCTATAGATGTACAGTGGTACCTCAGGTTAAGTACTTAATTTGTACTGGAGGTCTGTTCTTAACCTGAAACTGTTCTTAACCTGAAGCACCCCTTTAGCTAATGGGGCCTCCTGCTGCTGCCAGGCCGCCGGAGCACGATTTCTGTTCTCATCCTGAAGCAAAGTTCTTAACCCGAGGTACTACTTCTGGGTTAGCGGAGTCTGTATCCTGAAGCATCTGTAACCCGATGTACCACTGTACTGTACAGTATCTTCTTTTCCGCTGGGGAAGTCTGCCCCCTGGTGGCCGCTTGATTCGGCAGCGGTTTAAACCAAAACCTCCAGCCTGCAGAGGGCACTTAGATGAAAAGATACATGAAACTGTGGGGAGAGCGAGAGCGAGCGAGTGAGCGAGCAACCAAGAGAGAGAGAGAGAGCGAGAGAGAGAGAGCGAGAGAGAGAGAGCTGCAGCTGTTGGCTGCAAACTGTATAAAAGTGCAACTCAAAGAGCTCGGCATCCTTCCGCTTCCTGCTAACCCGGAGGCACGCCGTGCAGGTAGGAGACGTGGGACCAATAGGACGGGATGGGAGTTGGGAATTTGCGGAGAGGAAGGTGGTTGAAATAAACGTTTTAATGGGCTACCTTGATACAGGGGTTTTATTTTTACTGGTTTTAGCAAAAAGGCTTTATTTATTAAGTTACTTGAAAATACAGAATTTAAAAATCTTGCTAATCCTTAAACTGTAAGGCTCTTTAAAAAATTAAATTGCAAACTAGGGTTGTCGGAATTGCAAACTGGGGTTTTCGGACGCGCAAAGGGATTCTTCCGGCATGGTGTGTGGCGGGGAGAGAAGGCTGCTCTGGTTATCCATACTGAACGTAGTAATAATTTGGTTCCATTTTACAGAGCACTTCAAGCTAGTTCAGACGCTTGGCTCGAGAAAGCTCCCCTGCCCGTTCCTAACAGCCTTGTGAGGTGGGCTCGTTCCCATGTTTGTAGCGACTGGTTTTGGAAGCAGGGTTTTGGAAGCAGGTGGCCATTTACCGAGATGCTGACTTTTGTTTGATAATTTGTATTTCGCTGCGTATAAACCTTACTTTGTCTGCGTTAATTTTCTTGCCCATACTGGCGGTGGGGTGGAGGGGGACAGGGGATTTACGGTATTTCTATGGGGAAAAGAGAAATGTCATAAATTCATGTAGTGACAAAGCACTTGAAAATAAATATTAGCTTGGCAGGTTCAAACTTTATAGCTTTGTTTACTAAGTGCAAGAAAAATAAGCAGGCTAAATTGGATAGCTCATTAGTCCCGGGATGGGGAATCGTTCGTCAGCCCTCGCAGTCGTGGCAATGGCTAGGAAAGGTTGGAGTTCAGCAACATTCAGGGGTAGGGGGCACAGCGTCCCCCACACCTGCTCTTGGTCATTAGAATGTTTGCCCCATTCAAAATTTTACCCCAGGTGGTTAGCATTCATTGCAGTTGTCGTTGGTTTTTTTACTGGAAGTGAAAAACGAAGTAAAATGCCTTTTCTTGGGGAAACTCCCCCCTTTTTTGTCAGAAGGGTAGCCTTTCCCTTTAAACCTTTTCCACGGACTTCCTTTTAGCCAGATTCATGGAGTTAACAAGCTACAGTACAGCTGCAGTGGTAATTTGGGGGCAGTGGTAGTTTGGCGGGGCCAAACATTCAAAGAAAGAAAGACTCTTGAAATGGTGCAGCATTCCCTACTTTTTAAAAAAGATTTCCATGAGGGCTCCTGTACCATTTACCGGGAAGTGATTTCCTTGGCAGAAATGAAAACATCAGAACTTTGAAAATAATCATGTTATGTGGACATGGACTAGGCTAGAGTGAGGCAGTGCCCCTTCACTAGCAGCAGCACCTGTCACAGAAGCTGTGACTTTGCAAAGTGGAAGAAAAAGGTTCAACCCCAGTGCGAGCAGTGTGGTGTAGTGGTTAGAGTCTGTAGGACTAGGACTGGGGAGACCCAGGTTCAAATCCCCACTTAGCCATGATGTTCACTGGGTGTTACTGTCCTATACATGCCTAAACTTAAGCCCCACTGTGCTCTCTGTACTACCTGTTTTGCTGTGGCTGGGTAAAGGTAAAGGGACCCCTGACCATTAGGTCCAGTTGTGACCGACTCTGGGGTTGTGGCGCTCATCTCGCTTTACTGGACGAGGGAGCCGGTGTACAGCTTCCAGGTCATGTGGCCAGCATGACTAAGCCGCTTCTGGCAAACCAGAGCAGTCCATGGAAACACCGTTTACCTTCCCACCAGAGCGGTACCTATTTATCTACTTGAACTTTGACGTGCTTTTGAACTGCTAGGTTGGCAGGAGCAGGGACCGAGCAATGGGAGCTCACCCCGTCGTGGGGATTCGAACCACCGACCTTCTGACTGGCAAGTCCTAGGCTCTGTGGTTTAACCCTTTGTGGCTGGTTACAACCTTCCAAATGCCACAAACTGCAAAAAGAACCAAATAAATTCTCTACAAAAAAGTAATAGAAGGTGCTGCTGCATTCGGGGTGGGGAATAGCCATTCTGTTTTTGCGCCTGTAACCCAGGTTCCAGGAGCCATGTGGCAAATAGCTTTTCTATCCTACAGTGGACCCGCTGCCAGTCAGTTTTGGCCAGGCATAGGCAACCTTCGGCCCTCCAGATGTTTTGGCCTACAACTCCCATGATCCCTAGCTAACATGACCAGTGGTCAGGGATGATGGAAATTGTAGTCCAAAACATCTGGAGGGCCGAAGGTTGCCTATGCCTGGTTTTGGCCATACTGAGCTAGATGTAGTTTCTATGGGCATTGTGTAGGATCATTGAGTAGACATTATGCCCTATGCATGTGATGGGTTAAAAGGACTTGCTCCTGCATGAATCACCCCAAAATTTAAGACGTACATGGTTTTCCATCGCATATTTCAGATCAAGCCCGCAGCAACACAGCGGCTTTAAGAACTTTTAAGACGTTATCAGCAGCTAAGTTTGTCGATCCTTTTTTATATCTACTATTTGGAGCACTGTATAACATTTATTAATCTATTCAATACTTTATGATGGATAAAAACAACTAACTGCTTTCTTGAGCATGAAGGATAAACTGTACCTTTATAGCTCTGGATTCAAAGCGGCTCAACCCCCACCAAAACTTTCAGTTTAGGAAATGTCACCTTTGTCACTGTCATCTTCTCCTGCAACATCCATTAAGACTAACAGTATTTCCAGTCAGATTCCCGATTTCTCTGCTTTGTTGCTAAATCTAAAAAAGGGTGATATATCAGGATGAGAAACCCCTAAAGGATGAACCGATGTTGTGATGACAGCAGCTCCAGACTGCAAGATATAGAAACACTTAACCATGTAAATCCCTTAAGTTGTGTGGAGATTCACCCCACCTGCTGCTTGGCTTAGTGAGATTCAGGAAAAATCAACTGTAGGTATCTCTTTCTGCAAGTTTCAACCCTTGTGTGAAGCCACACTGTGGCTTAACACACGTAACAACTAATTGCATCCAACACGAAAGGAAAACTGCTACCTAACGGAATTAGAAATTCACACCCCGTAATGTGGAACTTCAGTCAAATGCCACAAAGGGTTTTGTTCTTAAAACTTGGGGGAAAATGAATGATGTGTTAAAAAACAGCAACCAACACCTTCAAAACAAACAAACAACCTTAACGCCAGTTTTGCCGATGACCATAGAACCACGTCCAATTTCATTCTTGCATTTCAAGTTCTTGTTTCAGGCTTTTCAAGTAAGCATGGACGCTGTCATAGCCATGGTACTTGGCCAGGTAAACAAGCACACCTGTAGCACATCATCCTTCCCGCTGCCTGCAGAAGCTGCAGTTGCAGATGCCACGGCAAGGTGGGCAATGCCAGTCCGGATCCAGCAAAGCGGTCCTGACTTCTTCTCCATAGCGGTTGCGTAGGCAAGGCCCACAGAACTGTCCCTTGCAACTTGCCTCATGGTAGATTTTTAAAAATGTGGTAGATTAAAAAAAAAGTTTCCTTGGGTGTGTGGATCTGAAATGCAGACCCACCCTGCCCTTGGAAAGAAAAGTCACAGGTGGCCTTCTTGATAAGGAGAGGGTCTCTTTAGCTTTTGAATGCTGTGAGATCACACCTCTTGCTGTGGATTAATTTCATAGAATCATAGGCACAGTTAACTGTTGCAGCTTGCCCTGCTCATAGTTGTGAAGAATATTCTCATGTTATGAATGGCCCTACAGCTCTGATTCTATATCAACAGGGCAATGGCAGTTGCAGTGGAGAGTTCTTATCTAGGATGGGAGGGGCAAGGAAACTCTAGACCTGTTGGGTTTAATGACTGTGCTACTCCATGTAAAGGGATGCATTTAAAGGATGTGGGGTAACCTTCCACTTGCCACTGTATCACTCCTTCCCAAGGCAGGAACGTCATGTCTTGAGCTACTAGTCTCTGACTCCTGGGTGGACTGGCCCCAGTTCCATCCTGTAGCTACTGGTCCTAGCAAGCTGAGAGCAGGAACCTGGCAAGACATCAAGTGGTTTTGTTGCTATGGCATCTTAAGGATGGACCCTGGCAAAGGCTGTCTCCTTAACCTCTGACAGCCTTGCAAAATGTTCCCTCTAATGACTAGCCCTGAAAGACGTACAGCTGTCCCAGGGGCCCATGTTTACCACAAGTCATTGGCGGCTCATTTGCTACCTGGCAAAGGTGTCATCCAGTCCTTACCTTAGGTAAGTAGTCAGAGTTGGTAATTACAAGGCTGGGGTTGGTCTAGGTCTCTTAGCTCTGTTTGCGCGTGTGTGACCAAACAGAAACACAACTGGTACAGCTTCCCTTTCTCTTAACTGCACCTGGTGACTTTCTGTCTGGCGCATCTAGAGTTTCCCCTTCAAATGCACTATACTCATGGCAATTTACCCTGAAAGGTTTAAAACTGGCTTAAACAGGTTCTACTTTTTTGACAGGTGAAAAAAGGCAAGTTCCCTTTACAGTTTGCGGCCAAGGTCACAGCATTCCTCTCTCACACTTTTAAGATGGTGCTTTTTCAAAAGCAGGAGTAGGGAATGTTAGGCCTGGGGCAGTGGGGGTACAGATTTGGCCCTTGAGGCCTCCCTGTGTGGCCCTTGGGACTCCCTCCAGGCCACACCCTCCTTGAATGATTGTGCCTGGCTGCAACACACCGACCCCATACACACATGCCTTATGCCTCACCCTCCATGCTCTGGATGGGCTGAAACTACCATTGAGGGCTGGGCACGTGTTCTATTAGACCCAGGCTACCTGAAGGACTCTGTTCTCACATACGAACATGCCCTGGCTCAGACATTCAGGGGAGGCCCTTCTCTTGCTCCTGCCACCCTCACAGGCAGGCTTGGTGGGGGGCGCAAGAGAGGGCCTTCTCAGGGGCTTCTCCCATACTTTGGAACTCCCTCCCTGGAGAAGCCAGACTGGCTCCCTCCTCACTGTCCTTCCTGCCAGTGGTGAAGACCTTCCTATTCCAACATGTCTTTGGGAACTGATTGGGTTTTGTTTGTTTGTTTAGGAAAAGACCTTTTAAATAGTGCTGTACTGTTTTTACTATATCAATTTCTGTATTTCCATAGATTCATTCTCATATTGTTCCAGTTCTATTATAGTTTTAATTAAACTACTATTTTTAAATAAGTTTTAGCTTTCTGTATATGATCTGTGTTTTAATTTGTATCAGTCACCTTTAGTCACAATCTGGGGGAAAGGCAGGATATTATTATTATTATTATTATTATTATTATTATTATTATTATTATTTATTACTTAATAGCAGCAGCAGCAGAAGCAAGAGAAGGGTTGAAAGATTGCTATCCTACTTAAATGGTTAACCTGTACTGTGGGTTTTGGGAAGGATGTGCTAACAAGCCCTATAGGATACATATGGTTGTGAATGACAGCGATGATTATGAAGAATTTTTTTTTTTGGTAGGCCGAGGAAGCAGCTTTAGATTGGCTCTCAGACCATTTCCTAAATGAATCACAGAAGGGAGTCGAGCAGAATGCCTTTCCTCCATGGCTTCCGACGGATCATCTTTGAGTACCAGCCATTAGTTGACGAGATCTTGGAATGTATGGATCCTCTGGTGCAGGACATGATGGTCAGGTAACTGGGAAGCTGCTTCCCCGTCCGTGTAGACAATACTGAGCTGGGGTCTCATTCAATTCAGCCCATTCTTCAGAATTATGAGGACTAGGATCTTTGAGGGTTTTATACAATCAAGCGGTATATAAAAATCATGAAATGCACAAACAGAATCCCACCTTTCAGGGAAAGGGCCATGGTTAAGGGTAGAGCACCTTATGTGCATATAGAAGACCCAGGTTCAGCCCCTAATGGCATCTCCAAGTTGGCACTTATAATATTCCCTGCCTGAAACCCTGCAGAGCTGTTGCTGCTGTCAGTCAGTGCACACAGTACTGAGCTAGATGGACCTGGTGGTCTAATGTAAAGGGGGGCGGGGAAAGCACATTAGTTTCTCATACCCACTCTGGCCCTACCCACCGCTGGCATGTGCCCCCCAGAATGTGGCCCAGAAGGACATGTCTTCTCATTGGCACACAGCTCTTCCCTCTGAGCTGACTACTAATTGGCTCTTAATCGTTACCAAACCACCACCGCGGAACTTTGCCCTCCTCCTATGGTCATTGTGGTGTTTTATTTGCCTTGTTTTCTTGTGAAGCCCCAGCGCTGTGGTAGAAGACGACAGGCGGATTGCGGCCCTTAACAATCTGCTGGAGAGGAATGCCAACTCCGTTTACTACCAAGAGGGTGTGAGCTATTCATTGCTGAAGATGGCGGAGTATGGGGTAGTCCAAGCCGCAGAAGCCCTCCTTCGTGGTGGGGCGGACATCACCTTTGAAGGTTGGAGGGGGACCTGGTTCATGCTTCCGGTCTTGCATATATTTTAAAATTACAGAAATCACTGGGATAGCTATTTATGGAGGCTGTATTTTTATATACAATTTTTTCATGATTCCTCCCCTCCCCCCCCCCCCCAATGTTTCCTTTCTGGTTAGGAGCGACCTGTTTTGGTTCTTTGTTTCTGCTGGGAATTGCAACGCCCCGTTTTATGTGACACCATTTTAATTCAATACAGGCGACCCCCGTTTTTGCATGCGTTCCAAGAACGTGTGGCCATGCACGTGTGTGGGACATTTTCAGAACCGGAACAGGGCAGAGTGGGGGGAAGGCAGGGTGGTGCTGAGGGGCTTATGCGAGTGATGATCCAGAACGCAACCCGCACGCAAATAGGACATTGCCTGTATTAAAGGCAAAAAAGGCTATTCCACCAGTGTGGTGTAGTGGTTAAGAGTGGTAGACTCATAATCTGGTGAACCGGGTTCACGTCTCCGCTCCTCCACATGCAGCTGCTGGGTTACCTTGGGCTAGTCAAATTTCTTTGAGGTCTCTCAGCCGCATTCACCTCAGAGTGTTTGTTGTGGGGGACGAAGGGAAAGGAGATTGTTAGCCGCTTTGAGACTCCTTCAGGGATATCAAATCCAAACTCTTCTTCTTCACCTGGCCTGATAATCCATTCTGAGACCCAGATGAGGAAGCAAAAAGTGGGGTATAATTTTTCAATTCAGTAGTAGTTGCACCCCTGATGTCCATTAGGCTCCACCTCCCTAAGTCGCTCTTTTCTACTGTCAGGTACTGCTAGGTTCACCTCTCTGCCATCAGGTTCCGCCTTCCTTTTCCCCAAGCTCCACCCCTTGTCTCCTAAGCTCCTCCCCATGAGCTTCAGTGTTCTAAAGCGCTGGCCGCTGCGGGCTCAGGTGCTCATGGGTGTGTGATGTCACACAGAGGTTCCTTCATAGGCTGTCTCTCTAACAACATGACCGCCTCCCAGCAAGGCCGGTTAGACAGTTGGGCCAGGAAGGAGGGCCTTTGACTGCTGGGAGCCATGAGGAGGAAATGGGTAGGGGGATGTTTCCTGGCCTGCTGGCTCCCGTATTACGGGCCTGACGTGAACACCGGTAAGCATCTTTCTCTTCCCCCAGTGCTGACAACAGCCTTGTTGTGTGGGCAGACAGTCCCCATATCCAAAGGACCAATGATCAGGAGTCTTTATTAGGCAATGCAGCAGGGTGATGCAAGGGTTAGGATGTCAGACTACAAGACCTGGGAGACCAGGGTTCAAATCATGCATACAGCCACATGAAGCTCTCTGGATGCAACCCTTGGGGCCAGTGTCATTGTTTCTTAGCCTAAGCGTACCTTGCAGGGTGGTTGTGAAGATGGAACAGGGAAGGGAGAGAACCCCACCTTAAGCTCCTTGAAAATCAGAACAACATCCCTGAACGTGCAAGGGTTCAGTGTTTCCTAAAAACCAACAGCCAGTTAGCCTGCTAGGAGAGGCAGTCAGGCACAGTGGATAAGAGCTGTGGAACTAAAAAACCAGAGTTCCAATTTCCCATGCAACCACGTGAAGGTCCCTTGAGCGACAGTTGGGCCGGTCGCTATCTCACCTGCAGCCTAGCCTACCTCGTAGGATTGTTGCGAGGGCATGGGAACCAGGTCACCTTGAGGTCCTTGGAAGAAAGGTAAGGATGTTTCAGTGTGACAAGTTAACAAATTGTGCCAAATTGGTGAAAAAAATAAATAAATGTGTGTTTCTGTGTTTTCAAAAGATCCAATCACTTATTATACATCTTTGCACATCGCCGTGATGCGGAACAAGCCGGACATGGTAGAGCTGTTGGTGCAGGAAGGTGCAGACATCAACCGGAGAGACAGGGTAAGCTGCAGCCATTTTTATTTCCATTATTAACATTTATGTCAAACCTTACACACACACACACACACACACACACACACACACACACACACACACGGAACTCAGAGTGGTGCAGATGGTTCTCTCAACTCTGTGAGGTAGATCAGACTAAGAGACACAGTGACTGGCCGAAGGTTACACCCAGTTAGCTTCATGGCCGAGTGGGGATTTGAACCCTGGTCACTCCCAGCTCCTAGCGCAGCATGCTGACCAGTACACCATGCTGGCAATTATTCTTATCATGGATTTGGCTTCACAGCAGCCTGATCACAAGCCATTTAAAACGCAAGCATTAAAAAAATTGGTTTGAGATCAATTACAATTGCATCTATTTAGGACCCACTTTATTCTTGCATCTTGAGTGTCTGGGCAGAGTAAAGAGGCGCATCTTTGGTGTATGACAGGAACCGTACAGGCAGCAACCATTTTACGCATGTCTGATTGGCACATGATCACGCTCGTCACTGCCGACCCAGAAGAGGCCCGAAAACAGGGCTGGGGCTCTGCCAACGCATAGAGGGGTCAGGAACACAACCCCCCACCCAAAATGGCCACCACCTGTGTAGTGAAAGGAGCAGGTGCACTAACAAAGGGAGAGGGAGATTGATAACAACATTGCAGGCTGGGGATGGAGTGGGATCCTGAGCCAAAATCCCCATCCCAAATTTTGCTTCTTTGTTCATAGGATGCAATGTGCGTGTAGGGTTTAAAACCTTATGCTCTTTTAAAAAGTTAGCTTTCAAAAGTTGCCACAAGGCTGTGAGTTGACTTTCTCCCCCTCCCCTTTCTAGAGAAAAGAACTTGTATGAAAAACAGGATAAGATAAGATATAGTTGGTCAAGAAAGCAGCGGTCAAGGCAGGGTCCAGGGTCCCAGATTTGGTCCTTGAGTGTTGCCTGGATGGAAACAAGTCCTTCAGCTCTGCTCACGTCACTTGCTCGCCCGGTTGAAGGACACAGGTGTCCGAGTGCATGTAGAAACCAGCTGACCATATCCATAGAGGGGAAATTCACATTCACTGCGCCAGCTGCTTTCTGCAGAAGAGGGACTGCAGCCCTCGACCTAGGAGAAATGCCATTCATCGCTGCTGCAGTAAAGGCATCAATAAAAGCAGCCAGTTATGTTTCCTCTATCCCATTCCTCCTTAGGTTCATGAAAGCAGCCCCTTAGATCTGGCTAGCGAAGAGCCAGAACGCCTCCCTTGCCTAAAGCGACTTTTGGAACTTGGAGCCGATGTCAATGCAGCTGATAAACATGGTCAGTTGCCTCCATCCTCCTGGGCTTGGCCTTTCCCCCTTTTCCTCCTTGGCTCCTGCTTGTGGGCATTTGGTTGGTCACTCTTGAGAACAGGAGCCTGGGCTTGATAGGCCTGATACCGACTCCTCTCACATTCTTATGCTCTCTTTTTCCCTCCTTCCCCAGGAAAGACTGCTCTGCTGCATGCTCTAGCCAGCAGTGATGGGGTTCAGATCCACAATACGGAAAACATTCGCCTTTTGTTGGAAGGAGGTGAGCTTCCTCCACCCGCCCGCCCTACCAAGCCCTGCTGCTTCCTTTTCCAGGGGTCCAGATCCAGTGCAAAACTATCAGTGGTCTCAGAGCAGGAATGTGAACCAGGCTGGCACCCTCTTGCCAGCACACGGCATTCTCCCTAAAACGACCTGCCTGGGTGGGCTGGAATGATAAGAGTGCAAGCACTGATTAATCCAAATTTATTGTTACAAGATATATGATCTATATAGATAATGGATGACTTAGGCAAACAAGATATACCGGTATATGTATTTAAGAACATTATTCTTTAATTTAGGTTAATTGAAAGAAATACGAATAATCATGCATTGCCGCAATATATTCTCAACTTCAAATACAGTGGTACCCCAGGTTACAGACACTTCAGGTTACAGACTCTGCTAACCCAGAAATAGTACCTTGGGTTAAGAACTTTGCTTCAGGTTGAGAACAGAAATCGTGCAGCAGCAGCGCAGCGGCAGCTGGAGGCCCCATTAGCTAAAGTGGTGCTTCAGGTTAAGAACAGTTTCAGGTTAAGAACCGACCTCCAGAACGAATTAAATTCATAACCAGGGGTACCACTGTACTTCCAGCACTATTCTAAGCACGTTATTAAATGTCTTTGGTATTACTTTAAATAAGGGTTAAGATATATTTGTGATAGAGGGCCTTATATTTATTTTCTCTTTCTCTTCCTTAGTTTGGCTTTTATTGTATTTTGTTGAATACTTTTAGTAAAAATTGATTGGGGAAAATTGGAAAATGGTGGTGGTGATGCCAAGGGTCACTGGAAAAAAAACATTAAACTGTCTGTTTCTTTATTGTTCCCGCCGATCAGGAGCCAATGTGAAGGCCACAACAAAAGATGGTGACAGCGTCTTCTCCTATATCATCTTCCTCCTTGGAGAGACAGTGGGAGGTGACGAAGAGGAGGTCCAGACCATCAAGAGCTTCTGCTTCCAGGTCACTCAGCTGCTGATGACCCATGGGGCCAACCCTAGTGCGTGCCCAACCTACGAGTCCCTCACCCACCTGTGCCTGAAGAACTTCCGGCTCCACTTTCCCCTCCTGCGCTTCCTCCTGGAGTTTGGGGCGTCATACAACTGCACCCTCCATGGGCCCTCCTGTTGGTCGGGCTTCAGTATTATCTTCGAGCAGCTGTGCTCCCTCTTGAGCGGGTCAGAGGACGATGCCTTCTGCGTCGACCTCTTTCAGAAGGCCGAGACGGTGCTGGAGCTCATGGCCTCAAGCTCCCAGACCATCAAGCTGCCCATCAACTTTGAGATCAACCTCAGCCACCTCAGCGGGTTCCATAGGAAGAGGATCTCAGACCTCTTCACCAGCCTGAAGCAGCTGGAACACTCTCCTCCTACCTTGAAGCAGTTGTGCCGGGTTTCCCTGCGGCAGCATCTCAGACCCTGGCCCATCGATGAAAAAGTCAAGGCCCTCCCGCTTCCCAACTTGTTGAAAAAATATCTCCGTATAGACCCGAGCAGCTCTGCGGAGGCGGCCGTCTGACTTCAAGGGTGGACCAAGAAGACTGATCTGCCAAGGGGGTGTTTCCAGCCTGAGGCCTTCAAGCCACACACACCAGTCAATTGTGGACACGGGTGTTGGTCACGCACAGGATGACATTTGCGGGATTGCCGCACAGGGTGTTACTGCACCATACTTATTCACACACATGGCCTTTTGCCCTGCAATGGACGAATGCATAAGACTTGGATGTTTCCAAATCTGCAGCTCAACTGCTGATTGTTCTGAAGGAGGGACAAGTCCATTTTCTGGACCTGGGTCATGACTAAACTGAATTCTGCTCAGTGTCCGCAGAAGGTTGGAGGCCTCCATTTATCTGGAACAAGATTACCTCGCGACTTTTCTAAACAACTGTTCTGAGCAACCTGGCTTCTAACAGGGAGCGAATTGTCCATTCCTCTAGGTCATTAAACATGTGTTCTGCACCAGCAAAATGTTGTGCCTCTAGTGTCTTGCTTGGTTGTTTTCAAGTTGCTTTGGGTTGCCCTGGGTAACAGTGACTTGACAAATTTAATTAAAATAAAATAAAAGCAACAATAGGCCAAGTAGCAGGAAAAAGGGGTGGCAATAACATCTTCACGACATCCTATGCTTTATTGGGTGCTGCTTTTGCAAATGGAAAGTAGCTGTTTTCATACTTGTTGCCTTATCATTTAATGTGTATACTGCCCTTCACCCATAGGTCTCGGGAGGTTCACAACATATTGCAGATTCTGTTTCTGTCCTTCAAAACAGAAGGTACCATTCCTCATGAGGCTTTCCTATGCTAGGCCATGAGCCAAGGGCAGCCTTATCTAGTCCACACAGTGACTCAACCATTTTTGTGCGTTTTCAAAGGCAGTATGATGATAGAATCATAGAGTTGGAAGAGACCCCAAGGGCCATCGAGTCCAACCCCCTGCCAAGCAGGTTGATGGTTGTAAGCTGATACACAGCTAGGTTAAGTGTGAAGAACTTTTTTGACCCATTGGGCCAGATCCTTGATAAGTGGGAAGGCCACACACCTGTCATTCATCTGACAGAGCAGAAATGAAGCAAGACTGATAGGGGAGGGGTCCACTTTACTAGTGTTTCCAGAGGGGAGCAAACTAGCAACGCAGCACCCTCCCCATGCCTTCCTGATGTCACCCAGCACTGTCAACTGGCTGACAGGTGGCCCTGCTTTGGGAGGAAAACGGCCTTGTTCCTCAGAAACCGTGATGACCATGAGCTCACCACCAATTGGGGAAAAATAGCCACTGTTTCTAAGTAAAAGATAGACATCATTTCAGGGTGGCCCCTTGGTTCAGCTATATTCCCCCCCCCCCCCCGGAAAGCATTTAACCAAACACACAGGCTACATTCGCACCATACATTTTTTAAAAACCCAATGACGCTTTCAACAATCACAGCTTCCCCCAAAGAATCCTGGGAATCGTTTAGGAGACTGCAGTTCCCCTCAAGGCACTACAATTCCCAAAGTTCCCTAAGTAGGAGGGATTGTTAAACCACTCTGGGCTGCTCCATTGGCACTCTCCAGAGACCCCTCAACTGGGGTCTTATCAACAGTCATTTCATCTTTTGACAAAGGACAGAAGGTCCCACTCCATGGCTATATTGAGGGACCAGCTTCATTTGGCACCCCTGAGAAGTCATTCCAAGTGCTTTGGTAACTCCTCTGGGCTTTGATTTTTCCCTTCCTATCTGGTTCTTAGAAGAACACTTACACTTCAACAGTGCCTGAGTTTTGCTTGCCTTCATCCCCACCCCCTTCCTTTTCCTCCTTGTGGGTCGCACCTGCAAATTTTGTATAGGAAGGAATTTGTTGACCTGACACCACGTGCTCTGGGAGACTTTTCTGATGAAGTAGAGTGGTGAATAAAAACACTTCACAATAAAAAGCAAGAGCCTCAATGTTTCTCTATGGTTGTGAGTAATTTAGCAAAGAGTAATTTAGCATTTAGGTGAAAACTGGACGCCCAAATGGTGTATTGTTAGGGAGGGGTGACCTGGGTTCTAACTCCTTTGCACTCCCCTTTTGAGCTGTTGTGTTCACCTTAATTTCCACACGGTAGCATATATGCAAATATGTGTTTTTTGCAAATTTAAAAGTGCCTAGCAGCACCCAATAATAATAATAATAATAATAAACCAGTATTTATTTCATAGAATCGTAAGTTGGAAGATGTCCCAAGGGGTCATTAGTCCAACCCCCTGCAATGCAGGAATCTTTTGCCCAACATGGGGCTTGAATCTATGACGCTGAGGTTAAGAGTCTCGCACTCTCGCAAAGTGAGCACTAAACGTAAGAACATAAGAGCTTGCTGGATCAGACCAATGGCCCATCTACTCCAGCATCATTCTCACAGTAGCCAACCAGAAGCCCATTATGGGAAACCTGAAAGCAGGACCCATTAATAACAATCTATAAATTTGCCCAATCTTCATTTAAAGCAGCGTTTCCCAAACTTTGGGGTTTTAGACTACAATTCACTGTTCCAGCTAGCTAGGGATAATGGGAGTTGTAGTCCAAAAACAACTGGAGTTTGGGATACCCTGGTTGGAAGCCATTCAGGTTGGTGGGGATCGCCACCTCCTGAGGGAGGGAATTCCACTCTCCCATTTCTGCCCCTCCCACTGAGTATATAAAACAGTTCAAGACAAGTTGCTGTTACAACCATACAAAGTATATTTTGACAAGTGTTTTTTTCCCCTCCACCCATCAAACAATAAAGAACCAACAACATTAGCAGCAGCAGCTTCGAAAAAAAGAACATTTACTTCCCCCCCAGCATTCCTAAGCCAGTCTCGACGACGAGAGTCTCAGCCAGACCCCAATTTCTGGACTATCTCTTTTAGGATGTTCAGTTGGGGCCCTCCATCGCCGGGGAGGCAGCCAGCCTTGCTTGGGAAGGGTGTTTCAAGGCCCCCGCAGGAAGGCAACCTCCCTCTCTATGGGGCTTAGTGATGGAGGGGTTCATCTCATTGCTAGTGTGTAAACGTGGTAGATTTCGTCAGGAAAATTCTCCTGCTTCTCCTGGGCCAGCAGGTTGAGGCCAGCACAGCGGATGATCTTGCAGACAACGTTCAGGTCCCGGCAGACACTGCTGTCCACGTCGTCCATGATGACCCCTTCCTGGGCCATATTGTCCTTGATGACTATGATGCCGTTGGGCTGCAGGCCCAGGCGGCAGCGCTTCAGGAAGCTGGAGAGGTGGTCGTCTGTCAGGTGCCCTGTTTTTAAGAGCATAAGAGCATTAAGAGTCTGGCTACTAGAAATTCTGAATCAAGAAATGTGAAGCACCACCATTAGTGATAGATTGGCAATGTAAATTCTTTGAATTTATTAAATTAGCAAAAATGACGGCAACCATTAGAATGCAATCAAATCAGAATCTGAAACAAGAATGCAGGTGTGTAATAATAATAATAATAATAATAATAATAATAATAATAATTTTTTATTTATACCCCGCCCTCCCCAGCCAAGGCCGGGCTCAGAGCGGCTTACAAGCAATAATAAAACAAGATGAATGATTACAACTTAAAAACAAAAATAAAATACAACATTAAAATAATGGAACATTAAAATATTAAAATGTAGCCTCATCGCAGGAGGAGAAGGAAAAGAAAAAGAGGAGAGGAGGGAGGGAATCAAATTGGCTCCAAGCCAAAGGCCAGGCGGAACAACTCTGTCTTACAGGCCCTGCAGAAAGAAATCAGATCCTGCAGGGCCCTGGTCTCATGAGGCAGAGCGTTCCACCAGGCCGGAGCCAGAGTTGAAAAGGCCCTGGCTCTGGTTGAAGCCAATCTAACCTCCTTAGGGCCTGGGACCACTAGGGTGTTGTTATTTATGGACCTTGAGGCTCTCCGTGGGGCATACCAGGAGAGGCGGTCCCGTAGATACGAGGGTCCTAGGCCGTGAAGGGCTTTAAAGGTCAAAAGCAGCACCTTAAATCTGACCCTGTACTCCACCAGGAGCCAGTGCAGCTTGAAAAGCACTGGGTGGATATGCTCCCATGGCAAAGACCCCATGAGGAGCCTCGCTGCAGCATTCTGTACCCGCTGGAGTTTCTGGGACAGCTTCAAGGGCAGCCCCGCGTAGAGCGAATTACAGTAGTCAGGCCTGGATATGACCGTCGCATGGATCACTGTGGCCAGGTTGGGGCGGGAAAGGTAAGGGACCAACTGCTTGATGCGGCGAAGGTGGAAAAATGTCGCCTTGGCTGTTGCTGTTGCCTCCATGGAAAGGGAGGCGTCAAGGATTACACTCAAACTCTTAACGGAAGGCAATGGCACCAATTGCACCCCTGCAAGAGAAGGGAGTTGGTCCCTCATCCCCATGCCATCCTGTCCTAGCCATAGGACCTCTGTCTTCGAAGGATTTAGTTTCAATCGGCTCCCACGAAACCATCCAGCCACAGCTTCCAAGCATCTGCTCAGTGTGTTCGGGGCCGAGTCGGTGTGGCCATCCATCAGCAGATAGAGCTGAGTGTCATCAGCATATTGGAGACAGCCCAGCCCAAAGCTCCGGATAATCTGGGCAAGGGGGCGCATAAAGATGTTAAAAAGCATCGGGGAGAGAATTGCGCCCTGCAGCACGCCACACACCAAGGAGTGGCGCGACGACATTTCCCTCCCTAGTGCCACCCACTGTCCCCGACCAGAGATAAAAGAGCACAGCCAGTTATGGGCTATGCCCTGTATCCCCACGTCTGTGAGGCGGTGGTCCAGAAGATCATGATCGACCATGTCAAAGGCTGCTGACAAATCTAAAAGGATCAGCAGTCCTGACCCGCCTCGATCCAGTTGTCTACGGCGATCATCTGTTAGGGCAACCAGAGCCGTCTCCATCCCAAAACCAGGATGGAAACCGGACTGAAATGGATCTAATGCCGATGTTTCCTCCAGAAACCTACCAAGCTGTTCAGCAACCACTCTCTCAATTACCTTACCCAGGTATGGAAGATTTGAAACTGGGCGGTAATTGGATAGGTCTAAGGGATCTAATGAAGTTTTCTTTAAGAGTGGACACACCACTGCTTCCTTCAGTTCCCCTGGGAATGTCCCCGTGTCAAGGGACAAATTGATAATTTCAACCAGGGGGGTCCGCGCAACATCTGGACACTCCCTAATCAGCCAAGACGGGCACGGATCAAGGAGGCAGGTGGTGGGCCTACCAAATTGGAGGAATCTATCCACATCAGTAGGGAGTATCCAATCGAAATGGTCCAACACTGGACCTGAAGTCAGTCGAGGGGCCTCCAGTTCAGTCACTGTATCTAAATTGGCAGGGAGGTCACGGCGGAGCAACAGGACTTTCTCCGCAAAAAAGCTCGCGAATGCCTCACAGCTGTGGGTCGAATTTGTGCTTAAATTTGGTTGTCCTCCTAAGGACATTATTGACCTAATTATTCTAAAAAGTTGTACCGGGCGAGAGCTAGCGGATGCAATGGAAGCTGCAAAGTAAGATTTCTTAGCAGCTTTCATAGCCATCTCATAGGCTTTCATAAGCGTCCTATAAGATGTTCTTGAGGCTCCGTCACAAGTCCGTCGCCATACTCGCTCTAGCCGTCTGAGATCCCGCTTCATTTTCCGGAGCTCCTCAGTAAACCAGTAAACCAAGGGGCCCGGTTTCGACGGGGTCGCAGAGGGCGCTTAGGTGTGATCTCATCAATGGCTGCCAAGAGCCGGTTATTCCAGTCCTCAACAAGGTCATCTAATGAGTCGCCAGGAGGAGCAGGATCCATCAGTTTTCGCCCAAATAGGCTCGCCACCCGAGCAGGGGAGGAGTGGGAAGTCAATCTTGGCTTTCAGAGCGTAGTGATCAGACCATGGCACTTCCACAGCGGGGAGCATGATCACATCTATGCCAGCCCCAAAGATCAGATCCAGCGTGTGGCCTGCTTGATGAGTGGGGCCCAAAACAAACCGGGAGAGCCCTAGTGTTGCCATGGAAGTCACTAGGTCCAGAGCCTGTGAGGAGGGAGCGGCATCGGCATGGACGTTGAAGTCTCCCAAAACCAGTAGGTTTGGGAACTCCAAGGCCCAGCCTGCCAAAACCTCCAGCAGGTCTGACAGGGTGGCTGCAGGTGTGCTGGGTGGTCGGTACACCAGCCAGACAGCCAAGCTCTCCTTGGTGCCCCACATGAGACCAACACATTCAATGCCGGAGATCGCCGGTGATGGCAGAGCTCTGAAAGAGCAATCCTCCCGGAATAACAACGCTACTCCTCCCCCCCGACCCACAGTCCGCGATTGATGGAGGACAGAGAAACCTGTGTAGAGGAATACATGGCTCCAACAAAATAAGAGCAAGATAGATATAATATAGAATACAAGAATAAATATTTAATAAATAAATTATCAAAGTACAAACACAGTAACAAATTTTAAAACAAAATTAGGAAGTCACGCATGGCTGGAGGGAAGTCTTCGAGTCATGAGGGGGGAAAGTATGAGATAATTAAGTAAAAACTAAAGGTGGATTTACAATGTACAGTGGTACCTCGGGTTAAGTACTTAATTTGTTCCGGAGGTCCGTTCTTAACCTAAAACTGTTCTTAACCTGAAGCACCACTTTAGCTAATGGGGCCTCCCGCTGCCGCCGGAGCACGATTTCTGTTCTTATCCTGAAGCAAAATTCTTAACCTGAAGCACTATTTCTGGGTTAGCGGAGTGTGTAACCTGAAGCGTATGTAACCTGAAGCGTCTGTAACCCGAGGTACCACTGTGATAGAAAACGTGAATGTATAAATTATAAGAAATATGAAATTTCTATGTAAATGCATTGGAACACCAATAAATGGTTTATGGAAGAAGAAGAAGAAAAAGACTCTGGCTGCTGGATCAGGCCAGTGGCCCGCCTCTACTCCAGCATCCCGTTCTCACAGTGGTCAACCTGACTGATGTCCCCCAAAATGAAAACCCCAAGCAGGACCTGAGCCCAACTGTATTCTCCAGTTGCAGTTCCCCATTATTTGGTATTCAAAGGTAGACTGTTCTTGGGGAGAGGGGCGGTTCTGCTCTCACAACAGACCTCTCTATATGAAGAGCCCTGCTGGGCCAGGCTAGAAAGGGTCCGTTTTATCCTGCACTCACAGTGGCCAAGCAGATACTTCAATGGAAAGCCTGCAAGCAGGGCCCATGCACAAGTGCACTCCGTCCTCCTGGGGCTCCAGCAACTGGTATTTAGAAGTTGCTTTTGACTGTGGGGGTACAGCAGAGGCATCATTGGTTGGTAGCCATCGACAGCCTTATGCTCCATTAGTCTGTCTAATCATCTTATAAGACCATCTAAGTTGGTGAATATCACTGTGGGAGGGAGTTCCCTAGTTCTAACTATGCTCTGTGTGAAGAAGTCCTTTCTTTTCTCTGTCCTGAATCTTCCAACATTCAGTTTCACTGGACGACAACCTTAACCTAAAAGGCAGCGGCTGGAATGCAATGCTGTGATAATTAAGCGGCTGAACAGCCCTGAAGTAACCTTAGGCTGTTTGCCCTCTCTGACAAGCCTACCTCACAAGCCTGTTGTGAGGAAAACAGAAAGGACGTTGAAGGGGGGACATTTACACTGCCCTTTAAATTCTTCAGAGAGAGTTAACTGATGAAATGGGATACCTTTCCTGTCTCTATCCTACGCTCCAGTCACATTATGCATTTAAAGGACTGCCACTTAGAACAGTCATGGTTCCCTGACAATTAATCTTGGGAACTGTAGTTTGTTCAGAGTGCTGAGAGTTGCTAGGAGGCCGGAAAAAACCCTCACAGAGCTACAGCTTCCAGAGTGATTTAACAATCAATCCTCCTTCCTCAGGGAACCCTGCTCTGTGAGGGGGGGCAATAAAGTTCTAGAAACTCTCAGCACCTTGAACTACAGTTCCCAGGATTCTTTGGGGGGGGGGGAAATGCCTTTTAAAGAGGTACTGTAGCATTTTAAATGTACAGTGCAAATGGGACCTTTTGCCAGTTGTACCCAATGGCAATCCCATTTGGAGTAGACTCATTGAAGTCAACAACCAAGATTAACTGAGGTTCACTGATTTCATTAAGGTCTACTCTCTGAGACAGAGAAAATAAGCTGGATACACAACCCTTTTTTTACAGGTAGTGGAGGGAGACTCTCACCTATCACCCACTGGATCCAGATGACGTCGTAGGCACTGGGCTCGGGGCTGAAGTCCTGCAGGCCACAGCAGTAGTAGTTCCTCACACGCCGACCCTCCTCACCCAGGTAGGTCCGGGCCTGGTTAAGGAAGTCCGCTGTGACATCCACCATGTCCACCGTTCCGAAAAGTGGCAGCAGGAGCCGCTTGGTAATCCGGCCAATGCCAGCCCCACAGTCCAAGGCACGGGAGGTCCCTGTCCTGTTAGGCTCATCCTAGACAGAAATGAAGTCAATGAGGGCTAGAACCTTGAATGCCTCTCAAGGCTTTCAGAAACAGGGTCTTTCATTGTTTCCCCACACACACACCCTTCTCTGTTATACTGCTTCTGGCAAGATGGCATCCATGTTTGGAAATACAGCCTCCATTTCCCCAGGTTTCAGGCAGGGAACAATGACCAGCCCTGGGGATTAAACCTGCGACGTTCCTAATGAACAGCAGGTGTTCTAGTAGTAAAAAAAAGCACTGGGTAGCTCCCAGTAGTGGCACCACCACCAAGGCCTCCCCAGCTTATCGAAATCACAATTTTGCCCAATGTGCATTTTGGCAAAGGACTCTTAGCCTAACATAACAGGGACAGGTGCACCTCACTAGAAAGTGCATTCTGCAGATAGGGAGCCACCGCCAAAAAGGCCCTGCCCCAGAATGATGGGAGTTTGAATCTAACAATATCTGGAGGGCTACAGGTCAGCCATCCCTGCCAGAGATTCTGCAGTCAACTCGGCTTCCTTGGAGGTTTTCAAGCAGAGCTTGGATGGCCATCTGTCAATGACTCTTCTGCTGTGATCCCTGCATTGCAGGGGGTTGGAATAGATGACCCTCCCAACTCCACTATCCGATGATTCACTGCTTTAAAATGGGGGGGGGGGAGTGTATTTCCCACACTCCTCCTAAACCAGCCTTGGCCAATCTCCAGGTGTTTTTTGACTACATTTCCCATCAGCCCCTGCATTATTTGGCAGGGCGGGGCTGGCTCAGGCTGCTGGGAGATGTAGTCCAAAATATCTGGAGGAAAGCAGGTAACCCCAGGCTGTTCCTGCTCAGCTTGAAAGAGAGAACACCTTGCTTACCAGCAAAAAACGGAGCAGGAACTTTTTGGAGCTGTCGATGTCGATGCTGGAGATGTGCCCATAGCCACCCAGCATCCCATCCACTGTTGCGGGGATGTCCTTCCAGTATTTCTTGGCCTTGGAGTAGAACTCCTTCTCGTTCTCCACAACGTCGCTCGCCATCGGCACCTTTCTTCTCAAGGAGAAACCAAAGCAGGCCAAAAGGCGTTCCCTTTGACAGAGAAGAGGAGGAAAGGTGTGAAAGGGATTGGGGAACGGAGACCCTTACAATTTGTTTCCAGTTTTCTTAGGGAAATTACTTCACAGATGGCATCGCGATGCTTTGCAAATGCCAAAAAAAGTCGTCTTCTATGTCACCTAAATGTTGGAAGGGTTGTGATAAACTTAGTACATATTATCATTTATGATGGGAACGTCAGCTGGTCTTTGGCAGAAATGATACACAATACTGAAGAAACTATTGATCGTTGTCCTACTGAATATTTTTTGACAATACCAGTGTAGATGTATCATCAAAAGAATTGGTCTTATATATTATCTAGGAAGCTTGAATAGTAATTGCAACAGTCCAAAATCTTACACTGGCTGCTTGGAGTCACTCTCTCAGGAATATAGGTATAACAGAGAAAATCATGTGTTATTTTAGATTTTGATAAGAACTAGAACCTCCAGATACTTCTCATATGATTTGGCACTCTAAACACAGTAGAGTGGAACCACCATTTTCAAGATGACCCTGATCACAAGCAGGGCAAATCTGGAACTACACCTGATATATCTGGTAACGCTGAAAGTCGTTACCTGAAGTTTATTATTTTGACCCATGTGCAACTGTACTCAGATTCCACGTGCCCATCTCATAGTTTTATATTTTTGACCTGTGGCTATAACTGTTCTCTGCGTTGCATGTAAAATTAAATAATCTTTACAAAAGAAAAATAAGAAGAAGAAGGTGCTAGCATAGTGACCCCAACCCCCAACCAACAGGCCCAGAATGCAAAAGGGCGTTTAAAGAGATTCCAAAAGAGAGCAGGTGATGTTCAACTCGCCCTGTTAGATATGTACAACCCTGAAGGATGAGATCTCGAGCTAAATATATACATGGCTCCGTAGGGCGTGCCCTACACCAACCCAAACATGGAATCAGGACGATCGGTTGCCAGAAGTGTTCTTAGCTTAGCTCAAGTTGAGGCACTCACCAGGTTGTGAGATGGACAACACCCCCCCCCCAGCTGTAGTACCTGTAATCAGAATCACAGAACTGTAGAGAACCCAAAAGTCAACTAGTCTGGCAGGTAGGTTTGTGGCATGTTCATTTACTAGAGCCCTTAGGTCCACTCAAGAGCTATCCAATTGTCCCTCACCCTCCCAAAATCTCGGTTTTTTAAAACCAAATACTGGATGTTAATTCTGTGCTAGACGGAGACCATCTTCCTGCCTTGCAGAGCTTTTCCCACCTGGCCTGGCAGGGTGGAGCCCTGAATGACCCCAATACAAAAGCTGAGGCTGCTGAACAGACTCTTGGGCTGGGGTAAGGGGCTTTGGTTGGGAAGGTTGTTGCTATTATTGCAATTAATTTTTGGTACCTTTATTTTAGATCTTATTATGATTTATGTGGAAATCATTTGATTTGGTTGTGTATTTTTTGCATGTTTTATTTACGACAACTTTTGTTGTCATTATGAGGTTTTTTTCATGTTGTAAGCTGCCTTGAACATGCCTCAACTAATGGAAAGGAGGCATACAAATAAAATTATTTGTAAAATTATTGTATGTAAAATTATTTGTACATGCTAGCAGGGCAAGAGGACTCTTCAGCCCATCCATTCCGCGATGGACAATGAAGAGTCAATTCTGGTTAACGCCTGGCATGCATGAGGGGTGTGCCAAGGAACCTCGTGGGGAAGAGGGGCATAGGGAGCGCTCTCCCCTTCTGTACACATACGTAGCCCTATACAGCATATTTGATGTTTATGGTCTGCAAGCCAAAGAAACGGGTTTGTGCTAAATATACTTAAGTTCTTAATCTACTTAAGTTCTAACACCAAAGTTCTATTTTACACATGAACTTCAGCTATGTGGGTTTTGTATAAAAGATTGAACCAGGCAATTTTTGATGCAAACTGGAATAATTTGGATAGGGTAATTCACATCCGAAAATGTCCGGCAGACACCCAGAAAACTTTGCAGCACCTTCAACAATCACCTAACTTGCAATAACTATCTTGCTCTTATTTAGTCAACAGCGCAGCAACAACAACAGTCAACTTTGAAACTGCTAATCTTGTCTGATGTTGCATTTGCAATTGACATCTTTTTGCAAATCCTTTCACTGTTATGGGTGTGAGTTAAAGGCCTTGCTGAATAAATGTATTTTCAGCTGGCACGCCAAAATCCATCAGGATTGAAGCCAGTAAAATCTGAGGGGGAGGGCTTGCCTCATCTAGTACTTGAACTCCGCATCCATTTGTTGCTACTCATGAACTTCTGGAAATGGAAGATTTTCTGCGGGAAAAATGTAAGTTAAACATACACTTTTTCATTCTACATACTTAGCAGAAATGTTTTTAGTAGGCGGAAAAAAAAGTTAGTACAATGAAGGCACCTGCTGTTATGTCAAGAGGCAGGGAGTTCCAAAGTGTATGTTACAAATGTGGAACATGTGTTATGTGGCATGTGTAACGGTGCCAGTTCCACAGAACAAAGTGGTTGCACATGCACTAACATTAACCACAATTCATGTTAAGTATAGTTCCCTAGAACACATGAATTTGAAAGCACTTGTTTGCCAGTTTAGCGCCAACTTCCCAAAAGAGTTACAACTGCAAACAACACACTAGCATCTTTGGCCCTCTTCACACACTGTCTTGCATACAGAAAACAGTTAATCTTGCTTTTATTTGACAAATATAATAATTATAAGTATTAATAGCATTACTTATAATTATTAGATGAATTACTATTCGTATTAATAGTAATAATGAATTGGTTACTTTTGTGCCACAGCAACTCAATGCGACCCTTTTAAGCAAAACAAAAAACCCACGTGAACATTTAAAAACCACCTTCAGCTACTTGGAGAAAAGGGTGGGATATTAATGTAATTAATAAAAAATCACTACCCATTTCCTGGTGCTCAAACTATATGAACTTTATAAACTCTGTCTATATTGCTGCATGGAGCGGGGGGCATTCACCTTAACTTTTGAACCCTGGCACAAAGGCGGTGGAGACTAAAGAAGGGTTATCCAACGGGCTTCTGTGGGTTCCCTTCTTGCACCAGCCGCAGCTCTCTCCAGAACAAACTCTTACTAGGAAAGATTCCCCCCCCCACTTCCCTCCCCCGACAACCCATGAGCCACGTGGACTGCAATTCTCTTTTCCCCCCGCCTCCGAAGCAGTCACTCCGGCTCTCTGTGTAAACTCACCCCACCGAGCGCCGGCTTCCCTTGCGCGCGGGCGCTGCGGCAACGTGCAAGGAGGAGGAGGAAGAGAAAGGGGAACCTAATAGTGGGAGGGCACTGGGAGGGGAGGTGTCCAGACAGGCCTCTTCTGCGAAGCTTCCTTCTCCTCCAGGCTGGGAAGCCTCTCTCGCGCTCTCTCTCTGCTATTCAGGCAGCTACAGGTCTCGCCTCCCCGTCGCTGAGCATTGGGCCCCACAATCTCCTCCCTCTTCGGCACGCAATTTCCTTACATAGAGCGCATGGAGGTACTCCCGAGGAGGCGGGAGGAGGAAGAAGCCGACCAGAAGGGTGGGCCGGCGGGATGCTGGGGGCGGAGGCGGGGGCGGGGTCCGCTTATATTCCCTCGGCCGGACGCAGGCATCGCTGGGGGGCGGGCGGGGGGCGGCAGTGCGGCCCCGCCCTCCCTTCACAAAGGGCTGCACCACAGCTGCGCGCGCGCGGGAGGGCGCGCGACTTAGGATCCCCCGCCCGGCTGCACGCGCTCCGTTACGCTGTGTATATCCACACGCTGAAACATACACAAGCAATTTTTTTTAAAAAAAATTGTTCATTATGATAGTTGTTGCTGCTGCCATTATTTTTATATCCCTCCTTCTTTCCAGACCGGGACTCAAGGCGGCTGGCAAACATCAAAGCAAGGACGGCTAAAACACAGAAAACTAAAAACGTAGAAAAGAATGGCAGCTAAAACGTCATTAAATTATAAAGGAATTAAAACAGTGTTTTTAAAAAAGAAGTATATATATTTGGGTTCCTATTGAGGGTACTGGGCAAGCCAACATGACAGTGATGAGGAATTGAGGATTGGAGTGATCATTTTGTGATGTGGCAATAGACGAAGTTGTATTGTAACTTTTGAATAAATGTTTGTTTTTTTAAATCTTCAAATTTGATACGGAGCAGCATACTAGTATTACTAATAATAATAATAATAATATTTCAGAACCCAACCCAATTTATTCCTACTTTTAATTTTTAAATTTAAATCATTTTTAATACTGTATTGAATTTTTAGCAAACCACTTTGAAGGTTTCTTCTGAAAACTGAGCAATACATGAAAGACAAAGTGCGAGATTGGTTACACTATGCCCAGATTAAAGAAGTTTTTAAAAGTGATAAGAAACTAGGGTTCCAGGTGGAGAAATCGAAATTAGAAACAGAATTGTTAGAACCAAAGACTAAGATACTTTCAAGGATGTATAACTTGCTGTTGGAATGGAATACACAAGATGAAATGGTTAAATCGGCTATGATAAGGTGGGCACAGGATATTGGGTATAATATTATGTTTGAGGACTGGGAAAGGCTGTGGAGTAATGGATTGAAATTTACTGCATGTAATGCTTTGAAAGAAAATGTAATGAAAATGATTTATAGATGGTATATGACCCCAGTCAAACTCGCAAAAATTTACCACCTGTCTGATAACAAGTGCTGGAAATGCAAAGAGTGTGAAGGAACGTTCTTTCACCTCTGGTGGACATGCCCTAAAGTGAAGGCGTTCTGGGAAATGATTTATAATGAATTGAAAAAGGTATTTAAATATACTTTCACTAAGAAACCAGAGGCCTTCCTTTTGGGTATTGTCAGCCAAGGGGTGGCAAAGAAGGACCAGACATTTTTTATGTATGCAACAACAGCAGCAAGGATACTACTCGCAAAACATTGGAAAACCCAAGATCTACCCACACTGGAAGAATGGCAGATGCAACTGATAGACTATATGCAACTGGCTGAAATGACTGGCAGAATCCGTGACCTGGGAGAAGAGAGAATCGAGGAGGACTGGAAGAAATTTAAGAACTACCTACAAAAACATTGTGATTTGATTGAATGCTGAATAAGATGCTGGACTAAATAACTGAGCACCACTTAACTTAGAAATTTTTAAGGAAACAAGAAAAGTTGTGAAAGTTTAACTCTTTATGAGAACTTTAAGATTATGAAATATCGAAGAGATATAAGAATTTAAATAAGATGATAAATTGCTGACAAAATGTTATAATGATGAAGGTGGGAGCGGGAGATGTGAGGAAGTCCAAAGAAAATGTGAAATTATGTTAAGACGAATGCTATATTGTTTATTACATTTATTCCTATTGTAAAACCCAATAAATTGCTTTAAAAAAAAAAATGAAAACTGAGCAATATATACATTTTATGAAATAAATAAAATTGCAACCCACTCTGAGACCTTAGGGTGAAGGGTGGATAAGAAATCATTCATGCGTGTACTTGGGAGAAGAGGAAAGTTTTCACCTGGCACCTAAGGATAAGTAGTGAAGGCGCCAGGTGCGCCTTCCTGGGGAGAATACACCACAAATAGGGAGCCACTACACAAAAGGCCTCGTTCTGCTGTTGCCACTTTCCAGACTTCTCATGCACACACACAAATAGATAGCATTATGGAATGGTTAGTGACTTAGCACGTGGGAAACCCATGTTCAAATCCTCACTCATCCGTGGAACACGTACATACATTAAAATCAGAATTTTTAAAAATCTAAAATGCAATTCTGGGTTTTTTAAAATAATATTGATGAGAGTATCAGTACAACCCTAAATTACAAACCTGCCATGAACAGTATTTCAGGATTTAGATTATGTTTCTTTAAAACACAACATATCCGACAGGTAGGATTAAGAATCTTCTATTTAGCATCATATTTGATCTAATCTACTATATCATGTTACTCTCCACCCCCTTTTACAGCATTCATTGTTTTCTATATATTATAAAAAACAAAGAACTCTACTGATTAGATCTGCATTTCATTTGGCTTCATTCATCTAACCCTTCTTCAATTGATCCTATTTTTACTTTAAAACATAAAACCATTTTATCTTGTAATTAGAACTGATCCTGTCAAATTCCTGACTATTTAAAAATAAAAATAATAGTCTCCATGATTTCCCCACCCTGCATCTTCAATTTTTGAACAAATATGACCGTTGTTGTTCTAGAACATTGAGTTTCTTAACTGCCATTTTTGGAATCACTAAATAATAATCACAGTATAAAAGATGAGTGGGGGTGAGATGAAGTATCTGATCCCTGCCAAACACCCAAGACTGGAGAGGGAAGGAGACGTCCCTTTGAAGGCAACCCAAAAGCTTCAATTGGTTGAGAATTCGGCTGTGCAAGATCTCCCATCTGGTCCAAGCTCACATATTGCACAGATTCATAATGTATATTTCAAGGTCAGAAGTTCCCCCAAAGAATTCTGGGAACTGCAGTTTGCTAAAAGTGCTGGGAATTGTAAGTCTGTGCTGGGGAAACTACAGTTCCCACCCAGGATTTTTTGGGACGAACTCACAGACTTTAAAATGAGAGCCTATGTGGTGTAATTGGTTGTTGGTAGTATAACCTAGGAGACACCAGGATTCAAATCCTCCCACCGCCCCCCTCGGCCATGAAGTTCACTAGGTGGTCTTGGGGGCCAGTCGCCATCTCACAGCCTAGCCTACCTCACAAGGGTGTTGTGGGAATTAAATGAGGACTAGGCACCTGTGAGAACAGGATGCTGGGGTAGGTAGGCCTTTGGTAGTCACCGTATATTCTTAAGGCTCACACCTCCATCAGTCATAAAAGAGCTGGCATACACAACCATACCCACATGGCAGTATACCCTTTTGTATACCCATATGGATGGACACGGGTGGCGCTGTGGGTTAAACCACAGAGCCTAGGGCTTGCTGATCAGAAGGTCGGTGGTTCGAATCCCCATGACAGTGTGAGCTCCCATTGCTCGGTCCCTGCTCCTGTCAACCTAGCAGTTCGAAAGCATGTCAAAGTGCATGTAGATAAATAGGTACCGCTCTGGCGGGAAGGTAAACGGTGTTTGTGTGTGCTGCTCTGGTTAGCCAGAAGCGGCTTAGTCATGCTGGCCACATGACCCGGAAGCTGTACGCCGGCTCCCTCGGCCAATAAAGTGAGATGAGCGCCGCAACCCCAGAGTCAGTCACGACTGGACCTAATGGTCAGGGGTCCCTTTACCCTTTACCTTTTATACCCATATGGTACACAATCATACCCGCTGTTGGCACATGAATGCAGGCTCTTACATGGGCACAGCACCACCTCTTGGTTGAACAGTCCTCATCAGATGAAGGTATGGATGGGTGGAGAAAGCAAAAGAGGTCACCTTGCTGTGTGAAATTAAAGTCCAGCTGATAGATTACTGTGGAAACAGGATTCTGTTGACAGTGCCAGCTTTTCCTACTGACCAATGAGGACATTGACCAATAGGAAAGAGATTAGCATCAGTGGCGGTTAGACTTCTGGAACATTTCCTTTTTACGTACTAAGTTTATGAAGTTTTAATTATTGCACTTGCCCTCCTGTATATCCTGCATCAGGACTTCTACTTTGGAACTCCCTGCCTATTGATATCAGGCAGGTACCTTCACCATGGGCATAAGCAGGGGGGCAGCTTCCCTCCCAGCAAAAAAAATCAAGTACATAAATAAAAATACTTAACTAACTGACCAATTGTGTTGCAGATAACTCAGTTCTGCCCTCCCGCCCCCTTCCAGAATAAAGCCTGACTACACCCATGGCCTTCGTTGTACAGTGGTACCTCAGGTTAAGTACTTAATTCGTTCTGGAGGTCCGTACTTAACCTGAAACTGTTCTTAACCTGAAGCACCACGTTAGCTAATGGGGCCTCCTGATGCTGCCGCGCCGCCGGAGCACAATTTCTGTTCTCATCCTGAAGCAAAGTTCTTAGCCTGAAGCACTATTTCTGGGTTAGTGGAGTGTGTAACCTGAAGTGTATGTAACCTGAAGCGTATGTAACCTGAGGTACCACTGTACTGTTTTCAGCACCTGCAAAAACATTGTTCCTGAGACAAGCCTGCCCAGATATCTAGAAAACTGGTGTGTTTTTAGTTTTTTGCTGGGGTTTTTTAAATCTTTTTGAACATTTGATTATTTTTCCTAATTTTTTTTTGGTCTTTTTACATGCATACCTCATTTTGTTCGTATGCCACCTTTCCATACAACGTTAAAAAGTTGCAAGGCAGCTTACAACATTTAAAAGTTGCACGACTACAGATATGACAAACGCTAAATAAAACGCTAAAAAAACACATCAAAAAGTACACAACCAAATCAAATAATTGCCTCATAAATCATAATAAGATATAAAAGAAAAGATAGGAAAAATTAATAACAGCAATACAGTGGTACCTCGGGTTAAGAACTTAATTCGTTCTGGAGGTCCGTTCTTAATCTGAAACTGTGCTTAACCTGAGGCACCACTTTAGCTAATGGGGCCTCCTGCTGCTGCTGCACCGCGGGAGCACGATTTCTGTTCTCATCCTGAAGCAAAGTTCTTAACCCGAGGTACTATTTCCGGGTTAGCGGAGTCTGTAACCTGAAGCGTATGTAACCCGAGGTACCAATGTACACACACCAAACAATTCCCCAGCACAAGGGTCTGTTCAGCAACCTTAGCTTTTGTAGCTGGAGTCAGTCTGAGCCCCGCATTTGCCAAGTGGGAAAAGGCCAGCAAGGCAGGGAGCAGGTTTTCCAAGGGCACAGCCAAAATGCTCTCTTTTTGTAAACTGTTTTGAGTTTTCCACAATCAAGGATACATAATTTTTAATGAATAAAATAATACAAGCAAAGATTCGGACAATTGATCCATCTCGCTCAGTAGTGTCTGCACTGATTGGCAGCAGCTCTTCAGGGTGTCAGGCACGTTTTCCCCAACCCTATCTGGAAATGGCAGTGGGGATTGCAGCTGGGAACTTTTGCATGCAAAGTGTGTGCTCTACCATGGAGCTACAATCCCTTCCGCTAGAGCAGCCTTTCTCAACCTGTGGGTCCCCAGATGTTATTGAACTACAACTCCCATCACCCCTAGCTAGCAAGGCCAGAGCTCAGAGATGATGGGAGTTGTAGTCCAACAACATCTGAAGACCCACAGGTTGAGAACTGCTGCGCTAGAGAGAGAGAGTAGGATTCTAGTTCTCATTGTTTAGTAGGATTTTAGTTTTCATTGAGTAACGGGCTCGATGTTTAGTAGGATTCTAGTTCTCATTGAGTAAAGGGCTCGATGTTTAGTAGGATTCTAGTTCTCATTGAGTAAAGGGCTCAATTAAAAGAGGGAGGTAGAAAACTGGCCCATGCCAAGTCAAACCATGACAGTGTTTCTCCAGGGTTTCAGTAAAGGAGTCTTTCCTCAGGCCTACCAGCACCTCTCCAGGATTTCAGTCCTACCTCAAGATTGTCAGGGACTGAACCTGGGACCTTCTGCATGCAAAGCAGATGCTCTACCACTGAGCCACAGCCCTTTCCCAGAACAAGGGCACGTGAAGCTGCATTCTACAGAGTTGGACAGTTGGTTCATCAAGTCCTGAGAGTCTTCATAAGAATCTCTAAGGGGTCTTTCTTCTGACCCTTTAGGCTGAGGCGTAAATGTATGTAATTTAGAGGGTGCTTCAAGTGATCGCCAAAGAAGAAGAAAGTCAGAAGCAGGCAGAGCATAGTAGCCATTAATAACCCTGTCCAGTCCTCTTTTAAAGCCTTCTACGTTGCTGGGCACCGCTGCCTCTTGTGGGAGCGGGTTCCGTAATTTAACTATGGGGCCTTGTGTGTAGAAGCGTGTTCTTCTGAAATGTCCTGCAGTACCCACTCTCAAACACATGGAGGGAGTGTTGCATTTTCTTTGCCTCCGCTCAATACACTCGGGTTTGCCTTGCACTTTTAAGCCAGCCAACTATGCTCTGCACAACTTTCTTCCTTTCTTTGTTAATGGATTGGAAACTTTTTCTCTCTCCCCCCCCCCCTCCTTCCTAGCCTCTCTGTCTCTCCCTTTTCTTTCTTTTTGTTGTGCAGAGGTCCTCCCTATGCCAGGTAAACTTGGCTACCCACCCTGATCTCTCTTTATGGAAAGCGGGGGTTCTCTCTCTCTCTCTCTCTCTCTGTGTGTGTGTGTGTGAGAGAGAGAGAGAGAGAGAGAGAGAGAGAGAGAAACAAAGGGCAGAGAGGCAAGGAGAAAATTCTGCCACGCAGACTCTTTCACACAGCAGCCCCATTTGCCAGCTCTCTGAGCCTTGGAAACTGAAGTCAGAAACGAATTTCAAACAGATGGGGGAGGATGAAGAAGCAGAAAGGTTTAGACACAGTTCCCAGCCTCAGCCTTGCTCAATTCATTCCCCACCTGCTTTTCAGACACCCCCACTGCATTTTAATCTCCCCCCCTTTTTTAGATATAATGGGGGGACACCACTAAGGAGCCCAGTGTCAGAAATTGAGAGGTGTTTGGGTTTTTTTCCCATTTACCCGGGATTGCAAGAGAAACCTCTTGAGGTTCTATTTATTTGCAAATTTGCTTGGTAATGCCTTCCTTTGGGTCTTGTGGGCAGATAAGCGTCTTTCACATTAGCCGGTGGGTTGGGATGGATTACCTTTGGCTATCCCTGACTCTAGATCCATTTAGCTGGAGACGCTGTGGACTGAAGGGGATAAGGTCTTCTGCAATGCAGAGCAGGCCAATCCAACCAGCACCAGCTCTGCAAGGTCTTAGAGAGGCATTGATCCAGGCTTTGGGGACTGAGATCCCTTGAAAACAGAGGTCTGAACCTGGTTTTCTGCTTGCAAGCTGTTGTGGTGGATGGATCCCCTTTCATCCACCACAGTCCTTTCTCAGCCAGTCACTCTGCTTATCTGCTTCTTTATTATATTTATACCCCACATTTCCTCCAACGAGTCCTCCATAGTTCTCCTCCTCCCTATTTATCCTGTGAAGTACCGGTAGGTTACGCTAAGAGTGAGTGACTTACCCAAGGTTGCCCAGTGCGCTTCATGGGTGAATGGGGATTTGACCCCTGTTCTCCTGGGTCCTGGGACACAGGTGGCGCTGTGGGTTAAACCACAGAGCCTAGGGCTTGCCGATCAGAAGGTCAGTGGTTCGAATCCCCGCGACGGGGTGAGCTCTCATCGCTCGGTCCCTGCTCCTGCCAACCTAGCAGTTTGAAAGCACGTCAAAAGTGCAAGTAGATAAATAGGTACTGCTCTGGCAGGAAGGTAAACAGCGTTTCCGTGCACTGCTCAGGTTCGCCAGAAGCGGCTTAGTCATGCTGGCCACATGACCCGGAAGCTGTACGCTAGCTCCCTCAGCCAACCCCAGAGTCAGCCACGACTGGATCTAATGGTCAGGGGTCCCTTTACCTTTTACTCTTGGGTCCTAGTCTGCCACTCTAACCACTACACCGCACTCTTGTGCCTCTTGGATCATGCCCAGGAGTCAGGAGCTGAGCCTCTCAAGAACTCCAGAAGGGCCTCAATGGCAGAGGTTGTCATCATCATCCCTTCCAGGCATGGCTAGCGTCCAGCTATGATCAACGTCAACCAGAGTAATGCAATGCAGGCAGAAAGCTCCTTCGAATCCAGGTTGGAACCCCACCTCCCAAACCATCAACTACCCCTTTCATAACCAGTGGTGAGTTTTGTCAATTATTGAGACTGGTAGGGCAGAAGGCCAGCAGCAGGTGGCGCCAGAGCCAGCAAGAGGCAGGGGCGGAGCCAATGAAAGGAGTCCCTGAGAGGTGGAGCCAACTCATTCTAGTTGCATTTTTTAATTTAATTTCATTGTATTTCTATCCCAAAGCTTCCACCAAGGAACTCAATGTGGCGTACATGGTTCTCTCCCTCCTCATCTAAGCCCTACAACAACCCTGTGAGGTAGGTTAGGAAGAGAGGCAGTGATGGGTCCAAGGTCACCTAGAGAGTTTCATGGCTGAGTGGGGATTTGAACCCTGGTCTCCCAGGGTCTTATTCCAACACTCTAACCACTACGCCACACCCATCCTCTTCCCTGCTGAGTTCCCTCCAGGCAAAACAGAGGTGAAGGTCTTCTCTGCACTACACATTACATTCAGTGTCTATCCTACCACTTTAAACAGCCACAGCTTCCCCTAGGGAATCCTGGGAACTGTAGTTCTTCAAAGGTGCAAAGAGTTTGTAGGAGACAGCTGTGTTCCCCCTCACAGAGCCACAGCTCCCAGTGTTCCCTGAAAAGAGGGATTGGTTGTTAAACCAGCCTGGGAACTTTAGCTCTGTGAAGGGGTCAGGGGTCTCTTAGCAACTTCCAGCACCTTTAACAAAATACAGTCCATAGGATTCCTTTTGGGAAGGTGGGGGGCGGAGCAGTATGATACTGCTTTAAACAATTAGTGCAGATGGGGCCTAAGGCTGTGTCCACACCAAACTCATTTAAAGCACATGGATTCTTCCAAAGAATCTTGGGAACAGTAGATTACCCCTAACAAAGCTACAATTCCCACAGTACCATTAAACTACAGTTCCCAGAACTTTTTCGGAGTATGTGTGTGTGTGTGCTTTGCATGTATGGTGGATATGCGGTTTAAGTAATCAGCAACAAATATTCAGGGAAACTCTGCACTTGAGGCAGCTGAGTTGGAAATAATCAATATTAAAGTTGGTGGAGCCCTAAATTGTTTATTTAAATAGTTTATATACCGCTTAGTCTCTAAGTGGATCATAAAAAGGTAAAGGTAAAGAACCCCTGACAGTTAAGTCAGTTAAGTCCAGAACAACTCTGGGGTTGCGGCGCTCATCTCGCTCTACTGGCCAAGGGAGCCGACATTTGTCTGGAGACAGTTTTTCCGAGTCATGTGGCCAGCATGACTATGCCGCTTCTGGTGAAACCAGAACAGCACACGGAAATGCCGTTTCCCTTCCTGCTGGAGCGGTACCTATTTATCTACTTGCACTGGCGTGCTTTCGAAATGATAGGTTGGCAGGAGCAGGGACTGAACAACGGGAGCTCACCCCATTGCAGGAATTTGAACCGCTGGCCTTCTGATTGGCAAGCCCAAGAGGCTCAGGGGTTTAGACCACAGCACCACCTGCATCCCCAAGTGGTTCATAGACAAGGGTAATGTGCACTGACCTCCACCATTAATCCTGACCACACACAAGAAGTGGATTGGTTGAAAATAGTTTTAAAGTACCCTTTGTCAAATGAGTCCAGGGCTCTCCTTCATTGGAGGTTTTTAAGCAGAGAATGGATGGCCATCTGTCATGGACTAGATAACTCTCAAGGTCTCTTCCAACTCTACAATTCCATTCCTTGCTGAACATCCTCCCATCAGATGTCAAGGAGATGACCCTTAGAAGACATCTGAAGGCAACCCTGTATTGGGAAATCTTTTAAGGTTTAATGTTTTATTATGTTTTAAAATATGCTGGAAGCTGCCCAGTGGTTGGGGCAACCCAGTCAGATGAGCAGGGTATAACTAACTAACTCACTAACTAACTAACTACTACTAGTAGTAGTAGTAGTAGTACAATTGGAAAATCATCCAATTTGCTTCTATGAAAACCAACCCATCCAAAATGGGCAGGATTTCAGTGTACATTGCACCTTATTAGGATCTTTTGCGATCTCTTTTCGGACTCTTTGTCAGATCATTTGGTGAACTGTAGAGTAGGAAAGGACTGTGAGGATAATTCTAGTCCAATCCCCTGCAACTCAGGAACTGTCCCATATGGGGAGCGAACCTGCAGCCTTGGCGTGGTCAGCACCATGCCCTAACTGTGCTATCCTGACTTAAATAAATAAACAGTAATTTGCAATCAGAGGATCAATGTGATTTTTTTAAAAAAACACCACCCTAACGAAATCAATAGAACAAAACAAAAACAAATAATTTTCAAAAGCTACAAAGAGCAGATTGAGGTGAGCAAAAATGGTCAAGAAACAACAAAGCACCTTGGCTAAGAGGAAAGTCTTCACTGGCTGCCAAAATCTTTGCAACATCTGGGCCAAGAAGGCCTCCTTAGAGAAAGTATCCAAATTCCTGAAAAGCTCCCAATTCTGGATGCCTAGCACACTTTTCCTAACGTGGGTTGTAAGAACACAGCCTCTGTAGGGGAGTTTAAGTCCTGGGCAAGCAGGTATGTTGCATCAACCCATTTTGGGATCTGACAGTAAATGCCAAGGGATATAGGAAGGTGATTTATACCAAGCCAGACTTTTGGTTTATGCAGCTCAAGCTTGGACGCACTGACTGGCTGTCACTTTCCAGGTTTCCAGGTAGGGGTCTCTCCCAGCAATGCAAGGAGATGTCACTGGGGATTAAACTTGGGACTTTCTGCATGCGACATCTCTTATGAGAAATCTCACCTCAGCTCTATGTGAAAGCACAGAAATTGGGTTTCTGGCCAGAACCCTTTTTTTTCAGCTTTAAAATTTCTAGTCCTCATGAATCTACACCCAAAACTTTCGGGTGGTGGAATAGGCAAGAAGAGATGACCGTAAGCATTG